AGGCTGGACACCCAGTGACTCCCGACTGCCGGCGATTTGACGAGTTCGAGTTCTTAGATGGCTTATTGTACCGTGGGGAGCAGCTTTACGTTCCTGAAGGTGATGCTCGAAGGTTGGTCCTGATGGCGTGCCACGATAGCCCGACTGCTGGTCACTTCGGCATTGCGAAAACCTATGAGCTAGTTGCACGGGACTTTTGGTGGCCTCACATGGACGACTACATCAAAGCTTTTGTTACCTCCTGTGACACTTGTGCCTGGAATAAAGTACCTCGCCACCTTCCTTCAGGTTTGCTTCGTTCCCTTCCGGTCCCTTCAGGTCCTTGGGAATCCATCTCCATGGATTTTTTGAGTGATCTTCCGAGTTCTGGAGGCTTCAACAGCATTTTAGTCGTGGTGGATCGCTTCACAAAGATGGCGCACTTCTTGCCATGTACCAAGGAGTTTTCGGGCGAGGACATGGCAAAACTGGTATTCAGGGAAATTTTCCGACTTCATGGGATTCCTACAGATGTGGTTTTGGATCGGGGGCCTCAGTTCATCTCTCATTTCTGGCAACGGTTTTTGCAGCTGCTTGGAGTGAAGGCCAACCTCTCTTCGGCATATCATCCTCAAACTGATGGGCAGTCCGAGCGAACGATTCAGACGTAGGAACAATTCTTGAGGTGCTTCATCAACTATCATCAGGATAACTGGTTTGATATCCTTCCCCTTGCTGAGTTTTCCTATAACAACTCTGTTCACTCCTCTCTTCGAGTTTCCCCCTTCTTTGCGAACTCTGGCCGAAATCCCCGATTCAATCTCTCACTTCCTTCTCCATCTGAATCCTCTCGTTCAAATCCCCGCTCTGAGGCATTTATCTCCAACCTCCAGGAAATCCACAACTCCATCTCCTTCCACCTCCATCGTGCTCAGGAATCTCATAAAACATTTGCCAATGTCCATCGTCAGGATTGTCCCCCTTACAATATCGGGGATAAAGTCTGGCTCCTCAGGCGAAATATCTCCACCACCAGGCCCTGTCCAAAACTCGATTTCAAACGCCTTGGTCCTTTCCCTATCACTGCCATCATTAATCCTGTCACTTATCGCCTTGCACTTCCCTCCTCATATCAAATTCACCCCGTTTTTCACTCCTCTCTCCTTGAGCCTTATATTCCCAGTCCTATTCCAAATCGGGTCATTCCTCCGCCTCCACCAGTGCAGCTCGAGGATGGGTCTGAGTACGAGGTTCAGGACATCCTTGATTCCAAGATTTCACGGTCTAAACTCTACTATCTGGTGGACTGGAAGGGTTACGGACCTGAGGAACGCACTTGGGAACCTGTGGACAACCTAATTTATTCTCCTGACCTTGTTCAGGACTTCCACCACCGCTATCCTTCTCGTCCCAGTCCTCATTTTTTTTCTCCCTCTCCCATCCCTCGCCGCTCATCTCATCCTCCTCTTCGTTCTCGTTCACATCCTCGTTCCACTCGTTCTTGAGGAGGGGGTGCTGTCAGGAATCCCCCAATTCTTGCCACATTCCTGACTCTCGCCGGATTCCTGACCTGCAGACCACATTCCTGACTCTCGAGACACTTCCCTATTCTTGACTCTCGAGACACTTCCCGATTCCTGAGTCTCGAGCCACATTCCTGATGATGATGTGGCACCTCCTCGACCTCAGCTGTATTTAGGCCGTCCTCGATCCAAGAGTGGTGGAGCTTCATTAACCTATAGTATATATAGGTTAGCCTTGTTCCATTTCTCCACAATCTGAATCAACACCAGTCTAAGGCTTCTTCTTTGTTTTCACTAGCTTTTTCTCTTTGTCTTTAGCATTTTCCAGTCTTGATCTTGTTGGGGGTCTTGACAGTGTTTATAATTTGGGTAATCTTTTTATATATAAGAGATGAGCCTTGATTGATTTTCCTAAGTGTACTAAGTGTGCAATAATTCGAACAGTTAAAATGGTTCATGATAACAACTTTTGAATTTTTAATTCGTGAGTCTTGTTTAAGTTTTATAGGTATGTGTAGCAAAATTAAACTCAAAACAAGTGTACTCTCAAACTATATCTAATTAGTTGTCCATACTAAAGAACTTTAGAATAAAGTTTTGAGACAGCACAATGTTTTAATTGTGATTCTGCCTCTATCAAAGCCTCATAAGATTTGCCTGAATAATTCCTCAATTTGTTCTTCACTAAGGCTAACTTTAGCTTTTCTTAAGCTAGAATTGAAGATAAGAGTTACAGGTGTTTAATTTTCTTATTTGTCTATGCCTAGAAAAATTGTGACACACTGTTGAAAAAATATCTTCTAAAATCTCAAGTGAGAATTTACTCAGAAAAAAAGAATTCTATAGTAGTTAATTATGTTTTCCACATTAAATAAATTCCATTTCTTCTTCTTTTAGATTTTTCTCAAAAAATTACTGTTTAAACAATTTGAATTTGAGCTTCTTAGCAATATATACTAAACTAAACAACTTAGGTAACTTTTCAAAAGAAAATAAAGTTTAGTACAATAGTGTTGACTCAAATTATGTTTTTCCAAGCTTCAATTTGTGCCAATTTCCAATTCGTCCTATACTCTATGGCTTGTGCTATTTGAACACTAAGCCATTACAATCGCAAAAAGAGCTCTTTTATTCATTATTGTTTGGGCTTAAGGCTTTTGCAATCACTAAAAAGATCTACTTGTGATTTTTAGTGCTAAACACATTTGGAATTCATAAAAAAATTTCTCCCGATTGTTTTTTAAGCCAAAGAGTGACAATTTATCCCACTGTGATCACCAAAAGTAATAAAGCTGTTTTTTTCCTATACTTGTGTTCTTGCCCTTGCCTGCAAAAATAGTGGCAAACAAGCAAAGACAAAAATGTAGAAAAAAAAAAGAATGAGAAGAGAATAGAAAAGAATTTAATTTTGAACCTTAAAAGCGTGAATAAAGATAAGCATATATCACTCTCTCAACTCTACTTTATATAAACAGTTATAGGCGGGAGAAAAAACAATCAATTCAATGCAAATGCATATAATAAATGAGTGGGGCTAATTTTCCAACATGTTTAAGTATTATTTATATACTATATGATTTTATAACCATTCCTAATTGTTTCATGCTTATCTATAAAGAGTGTTGCCTAAGTTAGGTCTTTTTTCTTTGGATGCATAAAATTAAGCATAACTTCATTTTACTTAAGATTCCTTCTTTTGCTCTACCTAGGAAAATACATAAGATGAAACATTTACCTCTTCATTAGTGAAACTTAACCAAGAGAAGATACCCAATTTGAAGCAATTAGTAGTATTTAAACTCAAAAAGGCTTAGCACTAAATATCCTAAGATCCTAAATCTCTTTATATTTAAACCTTAATGAATCATTTCTCAAACTATTCTCTTTAATTACTTACAACTAACTTTTTTATCCTTTATATATAAATTAAAAAAATGAGATAACATTTCAATAGACTTTATCACTAATTTGCACAAAATATTTTAAGGAAATAATGTTATCTAGATTGTTATAGATTAGTTAACAAGGAGCTTCTCAATGAAGATGACAATTTAAACTTTTAAACTGATTATGGTGACACTGGGAGTGATTGGGATCTGCAAATAGAAAGTTCACTGTAAACCTATTCCACAAAGACCTTGGCAAATATATAACATTATGATTTTCTTAGGGCTTGCAGCGAATGCATTATACAACATGCTTGGCAGCAGTCATGCCATTCCCATCACAATCTCTTTCAGCCCTGAATTTGAACATTCCATGCTTGATCTGGGAGAGGGACATATGTGATATTTTGGGATGAAATCATTGCAATGATCTGATATTCTCTCACAGTAGAATTAGTGCTCAATATGGATAATCACCCACCATAACTGGCAACATTTTCCAAAGAACATGAGAAAAGTTTAGAAATTGAAAGCTTCTTCATATATAGCATACCTTTTCGATGGATCTTAGTTGTTCTTATCCATTGTTCATGAATGGTCCTAGTACCCCTTGCTTGATAACTCTTTGTAGCTTGCGAATGGCATGAACACACAGTTCAATTATGATTCAAGGGTCTTCTAACCATCTCAGGCTAAACGACGCTTGAGGGTTTTAGAGCACGATAGCTCGACCTGGATCATCCGAGCGCTGCTGCTCGCCTCGCTTCCTAATGACGCTTCAGGTCGGTTTGTTCGTGAGTTTAACGCTCTTGCTCAAAACTTTTGTTCTGGGTTTTCTGTCAAGACCTTGTTTGATCTCGGCAAGCACTCGGTAAATGCCTTTGGCTTGTTTCCAGACCCGCAGAACAAGTTTGTGTTGGCGCTCGATTCTAGTGGCAATCGTATATGGAAGCTGAGACTGCCACTCTCGCAGAGTAAGCACTAGAGGCTTTCTTATGCTTCGTTTTGTGGTGCCAAAGCTTAAGTATTTTTTTCCTCTAGATAGCAGCTTGGAAGCTTTTGCCGGTTCACACGTGGGGGAGTCCGGCTATGTCGACGGCCCCGCGGCAAAGTCACGTTTTAATCGCCCACAAAGCCTTGCTATTTGCGACAATGGCGCGGTCTTTGTGGATACGACGAACTTGGCTATACGCAAAATCAGCAAGAATGGCGAAGGTAGTTTCGTTTTCTCTTTTAAAAATCTCTAGAACATTTTTTCTGTTTCCAACAGTGACCACCATTGCCGGAGGTAGCTCTCGAAGGCCAGGCATTGCCGACAGCCCGGAGACACAGCTCGTTTCTCAAGTGACTTTAGCATGGCGTGTTCTTGTGGCTCCTTACTCATAGCCGATCACGGAACCGGCTGATTCGCAAGATACAAATCGATGATCCAAAGTCGTGTGATTCAAGTGATTCAGCCGTTTCAGGTGCCTTCTCATCCTTTACCTGAATTTTTTTTCTTTCGATTGGATTTAAAACTCCTGCTTTTTGTTGATTTCATGATCAGGATCACAAAAATGGGCTTTAATTCCCGTAGTGCTGCTTGGCGTCTGTCTGGGGATGCCTCTGGGAGCTTTTATAATTTGGAAGATACTTGATCAGCAACTCCGGCAAGTAAGTTTCACGAGCAAAGCTGGTGACTCTTATGAAAATATTTCTAGGGAGGCGATCAGCTGGGGAACACTGAAAGATTGCTGGCAGACGTTCCGGAGGACGATGATCTGCAAGTTCGGCAGCAGAAGCGAACTTGCTAGTGCCGTCTTTAGTCTTTTCCTGCTTGTATGTCATCAGGCAAAGCTCCTCGCGTCTGTCTTCTTTGGTGTTGCACACGAAGTAAAAACGAAGCCAACTGCGCCTGTCAAACAAGATCAAGACCTCCACTCTCTCCTTGGAAACACGAAAGATGAGCCTCCAGACCTCATTGATTTCATGGAACTCTCCGAACTTGGAATCTTCTGTTGCTCCTTCTCGCCCTTCTTCCTTTTCCGGATTCGAGGAATGAGCTCGAGTGTTTGGAGAAGTTCCAGCAGGAATTCAAGGACAAGCTCAAGCACAGCTAAGAATGTGCTCACACAAACTTTGTTTTTCCACTCTTCTTGAATAGTCCATTGTTTTACAAATAAGTTGACGCTCATGTTCCGGCCGGCCGAGGAGATGGACGTGCTCGAGTTCTCTGAGGCGGAGAGCAATCTCAACGATCTGGTGACCGAGTACCAGCAGTACCGGGACGCTTCCATGACGACGATGACTTTGGGGAGGATCCAAATCCACAGCGTAAAAAACCATTCTCTTTTTTCACAAAGGCAAAAGTATTACTATTTTTTTCCAAGTCAAGGGTTAGGTTATATTTTCTCACTTGGATTTTTCTATTCGAGATGCGCGCGGTTTCGTCAGGTATGGATGCTTCTCTCCATCAAGAAGCTATGGTCTCTCGCGATCATGAGCCTCCAACGCTTGGCCGCCGAGCTCAAGCGCCCTGGCATGGCGGCCATCACCGAGCTTCACACCCGCGAGCACCAGCTCCAGCTCCAGCGCATCGAGCAGCGCATGGACACCACCGTCCTCGAGCATCTCATGGAGGCCACGAGCCAGCGCCAGCTTTAGCTCCAGTTCTTCAAGGTGGCGCTCCAGTTCCAGCTCCGGCTCCAGCTCCAGCTGCTTTCGTTCATGCTCGCGGCCACCACCCTGGTGATCGAGCTCCAGCGCCTGCTCTCCTTGATCATGCTCGCCACCACGATCCAGCTCCAGCAGCAGCGGTGTACCATCATCATCACGGTGATGGAGCTCCTCTGGTTGTTCACCACCATCACCATGGTCACCATCACGGAGGCCACCACCATCACCATGGTCACCATCATGGAGGCCGCCACCACCACCACCACCACCACCGTCGCGACGGTCACAACGCAGCGATGGCCACACCGACACCCGCGGCAGTGGTTACAGTGGCTCGGAGGACGCCCTGGTCGCTGCTCCAGCTTCTTCTCTGGGTTTTGGTTGCGATCTTGGTGCTGCTTGCGTGCTTTTTGCTAGTGCGATGGATGTTATCTCGAAGGAAACAGCGCAGGAATGCGATCTTTCAGGACCCTCGGTGGCGGATCGAAGTGACGAATCCTTTGGCAGCTGTGGTGGACGATTCTCTGACTGAGAAGAAAGAGCCCGAGTGGAGGATTAAAGTGCTAAACGCACAGGAGGAAGACGATTCTCTGACTATGAGCTTGTGAAAGTACGGTGCTACCAGCATAGCGAGTGCTCGAGAGGTTTAAACGGCGGGATTAGTGTGGTCTAGAATGCACTCTGGCTTCGCTCTAAAAGGCACCAACGGACGATGCCTTGCTCTCATGAAGTACCGAGGCTGTGATCTGGACGCTCAAACGGTTGATACTGCATTGGAAGACCTGTTCCAGTGTTTGGAGTGAAGAAGACACAGAGAGCTTCGTCGATCCGCAAAGGTTATATTCGTCGCGACAATCTCTATGCAAGGTGTCGAAGCTTTTAAACGAATACCCCGGAAGCAACATCGTGGACTATCTTGATTGCCGGCTATGCTCAGCACAACGAACCGGACGAGCTGTTTCAACGGATGCTGATAAACTTTCGTGGCAGAACTGAAGGCTTGGGCAGCTCTGGCAATTGGGAAGGTAATTCACTTGACTATCTCCAGATATAGAGACGAAGTCATTGCGTCCGTGGCCAACTCAAAGCGAGAGTATCACTGGTGCTGAGCATGTAGTACTGCGAAGGACTGCCAAGTTATGGTCACCTGCGGCTTTGTTCTGGAAGTCTTAAAACCGGACGGATTGCTTTCACTTCATCCTCACTGAGTGTAGCGATGCTGGCTTGGTCGACACAGCAACCCAGGCAATGAGCTGATCGTAGGTAACTCCAGATCTGGAGCACTTTCACTGTATGGTGGTGAGGCTGTCGAGATGGCGAAAACGATATGCTTTATCGACTTTTATTTATTGATAAAGAAGAATATGTGGAATGTTTAAGTAGTTGATTTCATTAGCTAATAATTTATTATTTTAGGCAAAAAAAAAATTAATGGAGAGGCTATAACTTAAATAGTATGGAAAGGTGGTTTTAAAGAATTATAAGGAATAACTTTTTTTCTCTTTGTTTCTCTTTTCTGTTGACATTTTTGGTTCTGAAACACAAAGTTATCTGAGTGTGTGGTCTAACGTGGATAGCAAGCTCAGCAACTTTACAATAGACTAGGCATGTCAAAGAGAGAGTTAGCATTTGCTAGTTTTTAACCTTGAGTTAGCTTTGGAGGAACATCATGTAGTTAAAGAGCTCTTTATTCTAACTAATAAAAGATGACAAAATCAACTATAAATCCACTTAATCTCCTTCAAAAATTATTCTTCCTTTTTAATAAATAAAAGTAGAAATAAAATTTAATGCATAAAATAATCAGCATAACCCAAGATTTTCACATCCTCTAGAAAGTTCAAAATTCAGTTTTGTGTCAATACTTTCTTGGTTCCCAAAACCAATCCATTATTGAGTAATGCCAAGAAAAATCCTTACAACCATTTCTGAGAATATACTCACAACAGTCTTTTGTTCCACCAGCTTTTGAGGACTTGCAGTGATGAGGATCATACTTCTTTAGGAATTCATCCAAGTCTGGAACATCATCTCCCCCAATATTTTGCCCCAAACTCATAATAATTTTACTTTTTATATGCTAGAAGTTTAATTGGAAAAGAGAGAAAAATTAATAGAAAGGCTATAATTAAAATAGTATGGCATAGTGAAGATGGGATACCAAAATGGTTATAAAAATTATAAGAAATAAAGGAGTGTTGCTTTGGCATTTCGCTCTGTTTCAAGCCAAACATGATCACTTGGGAAGTGGAAGAATGTTATAGCCAGACAAGAAGCAAGCTGCAGCCTATGTGCATATGGAGGCAAAGTTCAGAAGAAGCTCAAACATTGACAAACATGGCATCATTCATAAGTTCTTACATATGGGACAAAACTCATGCATATAGGGACAAGATGGCTTCTCAAGGCTGCTTTCAAGGATTAGGGGTACGTTTCAGAAGTAGGAGCCATTGCATGGGACATTCACAATGAAGAAAAAGAGGAGTCGTTTTGTGGGTACAGCAGGAGGCTGGCTATCATCGTGAATTCAGGAGCAATGATTTGTCATGTAGATCTGCAATATTTCATCTCCACTCATAGCTGCAAAGGTTGCTTGGCACTTGATCTCTTTTTCCAGCATGTAGTAGCAAGGCTGTCAACTTGAGAAGCGTGCCAGCTGATTCCAGGATGGAAACTGGATTTTTGATGAGCAAAAGAGGTAATCTTAGTTCTGGACTGCAACAGTGTATTAACTTTAAAAAGTTTTATACGCAGGCAATAGATTCCACATCCTAAACAGCCTCTTGGACTCTACTCCCAAGTGTGGCATGCTCAGCAAGTTTTCACAGTACTTGGGAGCAGCTGAAGGAAATGACGAAGCCAAAAAAGGAATGGCTCTTCATTCAGCAGCTTGCAAGGCACACTATGATCTTGACATGTTTGTGGCAAGGAATCTAGTGGATCTGTACGCAAGGGGTGAGAGCATGGAAGATTTATGCAGGATGGGTGTGAGGTGTGGATATGAAGCCAATGCATTTGTCATGAGCAACCTCATGGACATGTGGAAGCATCAGAAGTATTTGGGAGGATGAAGAACCACAATGTTGGTTGTATGGAATATGATCATCATGGGACATGCACCTTGAGCTCGGATGTAATGAGATGCTGGAATTGCATGAAGTAGAAAAACATTGTTTCATGGGATATACTGAAAATATGCCTCAAAATGTCCTTTGCTCTCGAGCTTTACAAGCAAGCTGACAGCCAAACACTCAAGCTTAGCAGCAAAGGTGGACATTTTGAGGGAATCTAAACAAGAATCTACCACTGCTCATCAAATTATATGGGAAGTGTGGAGACATGGCTATTGATTGAGAAGTTTAAGTGCATCTCTGTCACAATGACACACTTCTGCATAAAATTGATCCTCATCCAAAAGAAATAAATGCAAAGGGATATAATAGTGATATCATTGTTCCCACTATTACCTCTCCTTAAGCCATGATGGCCTGGCTTTAATCTAATGGAGTGTGCTGCCAATGCCTCAAGATTACCTTGAATTCGATTCTACCCACTTTGTTGATACAATTGGTATTGGAAGTGTACTAGAAAGCCACTGGAAAGAGGTGGTGTTTGGCCCTCAAGTTTTGCTTTGAGAGTTCTTTTGTCTTCTTCTCTTGGAGCAATTGATTCATGCCCATGGCAAAAGACTCTCTAGAATCAGATTCAATGGTGCTTCCAATTTCTTGGCGCTTTTGCGCAAAGAGGGTAAGCTCCACATGAAGGATTTTTGAGGCAGCCTAGACACGAGATGATTGGTAGTTTCCTTTAGATGGGGGACAATGTCATTTGAGGGGCACAACTATATTGAAGTGCGAGAAATTTAGTACAGATAAGGCAAACTGACTTTTTGCCCTAGCTCTAGTTTTGGAATATGGATGATTGTAGATAGATTAGTTTCTTTTGTTATGTTTGTTTTTACAAGTTCTACATCCAAGTCAAGTTATACATTGAGTTTATTCACCTCCTTGATGTCATTTTGAACTTTTAATTTGGCTTTTGTTTTATAATGACATCATCAACAGTCTCTTCATCTTCATCATGGCTATCATTACCAATGTCATACTCTTCATTAGGATTAGCATCCCCTTGTCCCAATTCCAATGAAATCAATAAGCCCTAAATCCCTAAACCATGAAATATTTTTAGAATATTTTTATGGCTTTTATTTTAGATTTGGTAATTTCATTAAGGATTTCTAAGTGGTTTAACAAAGGTTCTTTATGCTTCATTTGTGAAGAAGTTTGAAAAAGTTGATTTTGTGAATTAGTTATTAAAAATCATGCAAAGGATTTTCGTAAGTTTTGTGATCATTACTTTAATTTAAAGATGCAATGTTTTATCAATGGTTTGAGTTTGGTGGATGTGTAACAAAAAGTCAAAAAAGATTTTATAGCAAAATTGATTAATGCCATCACTAAACCAACTCAGTCAACTATGGTCAATAGGATGGTTAATGAGGTAAACAACATGATAACCAATTACCCAATGCTTTACATTTAGGGAAGAAATAATAATTATTGTATTAGAAGATGACAATAAAGTTAAAAACCTTTGTTTGGACCAATAAAGTGGAGGGTTAATGTTTTAATTTTTACAAAGCTGAATGTTATAGAAAAAGTTGTTCTCTTGTGAAGGGTTATGGGATGTTAAGGTGAATATAGTGGAATTCATTATAGATACATCTCAAGAGTATTCATTTTTATATTTTGTGATAAAAATTCAAGAACCTCAAGCTTTTATAAAACTTAATGGTTTTATGCACAATAAACTTCTGAAAACCAAAGAGGATATTTAGACAAACCAAGTTCCTTTACCACCCTGAACTTTAAAAGATTGTGTGGCATCTAGATTAAAATGTAATTTATGGAACAATAAAACCACTTGGTTTCTCTAAAACCACATCTTATCTTTTAAAGAAGAGAAAATGATGATATTTCATCCCTAATAACTTTATTTTTGGACTCAACTTGACTAAACATTAGATTTGCTGTTTTCAATCTAATTTAAAATTTTTTTATGAAAGAATACAATAATGACCATTTGAACCTCGATCCACTTATAATCATACATAGTAAGGATCCACTAGTGTCGTATTAAACAATTATAAACCAATTTATTTGCCACCCATAGCAAGCTTATAGGAAATTTATTTTCACTTATGATACTATAGCATCCAATAAGTTAACATTAATTTTGTCAACTTATGAAATTGCTAATGTGTCTAGTACATTTTAATAAGTACAAGCAAAACTTTATACAATACGGTAAATTGACTTCCTGAGAAATCCAAATTCAAAAGCTTACATTTGGGGATTATATGCTTAAATTGATATTTGGCATATTATGAGACTTAACCAAGAGAGGATACCAAATTTGAAACAAGTAATATTGAGTGAACTTTGTAATATTTAAACTCAAAAATTCTTAGCCCTAAATATCCTAATATTCTAAATCTCTATATATTGAAACCTTAAATTTTAGATATTGTTCTTTTTAATTACTTACAACTAAATTTTTTATTGTTTATATATAAATAAACAAATGAGATAACATTTCAATAGACTTTATCACTAATTTGCACAAAATATTTTAAGGAAATAATGCTATCTAGATATTTGTGAAATAGGTTTACAGTGAACTTTCTATTTTCAGATCCTAATCAAAAGTTTAAATTGTCATCTTCGTTGAGAAGCTCTTCATTAACTAATCCGGGCTTGCGGCAAATGTGTTACACGACATGCTTGGCAGCAGTCGTGCCATTCCCATCACAATCTCTTAGCATGAAGGCTGAATGCGTTCTGCCCTGAAATTGAACGTTCCATGCTTGATCTGGGAGTGGGACGTATGTGATATTTTGGGATGAAATCATTGCAATGATCTGACATTCTCTCACAGTAGAATTAGTGCTCGATATGGATAATCAAACTGGCAACATTTTCCAAAGAACAAGAGATAATCCTAAAGCTTATATAGCATACCTTTCTTGATGGATCTTAGTCCATTGTTCATGAATGGTCCTAGTACCAAAATCCATGTTTTCCACTGCCTTGCTTGATGATAACTCTTTGTAGCTTGCGAATGGCGTGAACACACAGTTCAATTGTGATTCATGGGTATTTAACCACATAGGAAATGGATCTTCTAACCATCTCAGGCTAAACGACACTTGAGGGTTTTAGAGCACGATATGAAGAACAGCTCGGCCTGGATTATCGGAGCGCTGCTGCTCGCCTCGCTTGCTAATGACGCTTCAGGTCAGTTTGTTAGTGAGTTTAACTCTCTTGCTTGTTCTGGGTTTACTGTCAAGACCTTGTTTGATCTCGACAAGCACTCGGTAAATGCCTTGAACAAGTTTGTGTTGGCGCTCGATTCTAGTGGCAATCGTATATGGAAGCTGAGACTGCCCCTCTCGCACGCTACTGACGATCCTCATACCCTTGGGGAGCGTCTGGAAGAGGCGCCACTCGCTGCACGGGGAATTCTCGACTGGAGTAAGCACTAGAGGCTTTTCTTATGCTTTGTTTTGTGGCGCCAAGGCTTAAGATTTTTTTTTCCTCTAGATAGCAGCTTGGAAGCTCTTGCCGGTTCACTCGTGGGGGAGTCCGGCTATGTCGACGGCCCCGCGGCAAAGTCACTTTTTAATCGCCCACAAATTTGTGACAACGCGGTCTTTGTGGCGGATACGAGGAACTTGGCTATACGCAAAATCAGCAAGGATGGCGAAGGTATTTTTTCTGTTTCCAACAGTGACCACCATTGTCGGAGGTAGCTCTCGAAAGCCAGGCTTTGCCGATGGCCCCGGAGACACAGCTCGTTTCTCAAGCGAGTCTAGCTTGGCGTGTTCTTGTGGCTCCTTACTCATAGCCGATCGCGGGAACCGGTTGATTCGCGAGATACAAATCGATGATCCAAAGTCGTGTGATTCAAGTGATTCAGCCGTTTCCGGTGACTTCTCGTCCTTTGCCTTGATTTTTTTCTTTCGATTGGATTTAAAACTCCTGCTTTTTGTTGATTTCATGATCAGGATCACAAAAATGGGCTTTAATTCCCGTAGTGCTGCTTGGCGTCTGTCTGGGGATGCCTCTGGGACCTTTTATAATTTGGAAGATACTTGATCAGCGATGCCGGCAGGTAAGTTTCACGAGCAAAGCTGGTGGCTCTTATGAAAATATTTCTAGGGAGGCGATCAGCTGTGAAACACTGAAAGATTGCTGGCGGACGTTCCGGAGGACGATGATCTGCAAGTTCGGCAGCAGAAGCGACGTTGCTAGCGCCGTCTTTAGTCTTTTCCTGCACAGCGATGTCATCAGGCACAGCTCCTCGCGTCTGTCTTCTTTGGTGTTGCACACGAAGTAAAAACGAAGCCAACTGCGCCTGTCACACAAGATCAAGACCTCCACTCTCTCCTTGGAAACACGAAAGATGAGCTTCCAGACCTCATTGATTTCATGGAAGGCTCTCCCAACTTGGACGCTTCTGTTGCTCCTTCTCGCCCTCTTCCCTTTCCGGATTTGAGGAATTTGACTATGGAGCTTGAGTGTTTGGAGAAGTTCCAGCAGGAATTCAAGGACAAGCTCAAGCACAGCTAAGAATGTGCTCACACAAACTTTGTTTTTCCACTCTTCTTGAATAGTCCATTGTTTTACAAATAAGTTGACGCTCATGTTCCGGCCGGCCGAGGAGATGGACGTGCTCGAGTTCTCTGAGGCGGAGAGCAATCTCAACGATCTGGTGACCGAGTACCAGCAGTACCGGGACGCTTCCATGACGACGATGACTTTGGGGAGGATCCAAATCCACAGCGTAAAAAACCATTCTCTTTTTTCACAAAGGCAAAAGTATTACTATTTTTTTCCAAGTCAAGGGTTAGGTTATATTTTCTCACTTGGATTTTTCTATTCGAGATGCGCGCGGTTTCGTCAGGTATGGATGCTTCTCTCCATCAAGAAGCTATGGTCTCTCGCGATCATGAGCCTCCAACGCTTGGCCGCCGAGCTCAAGCGCCCTGGCATGGCGGCCATCACCGAGCTTCACACCCGCGAGCACCAGCTCCAGCTCCAGCGCATCGAGCAGCGCATGGACACCACCGTCCTCGAGCATCTCATGGAGGCCACGAGCCAGCGCCAGCTTTAGCTCCAGTTCTTCAAGGTGGCGCTCCAGTTCCAGCTCCGGCTCCAGCTCCAGCTGCTTTCGTTCATGCTCGCGGCCACCACCCTGGTGATCGAGCTCCAGCGCCTGCTCTCCTTGATCATGCTCGCCACCACGATCCAGCTCCAGCAGCAGCGGTGTACCATCATCATCACGGTGATGGAGCTCCTCTGGTTGTTCACCACCATCACCATGGTCACCATCACGGAGGCCACCACCATCACCATGGTCACCATCATGGAGGCCGCCACCACCACCACCACCACCACCGTCGCGACGGTCACAACGCAGCGATGGCCACACCGACACCCGCGGCAGTGGTTACAGTGGCTCGGAGGACGCCCTGGTCGCTGCTCCAGCTTCTTCTCTGGGTTTTGGTTGCGATCTTGGTGCTGCTTGCGTGCTTTTTGCTAGTGCGATGGATGTTATCTCGAAGGAAACAGCACAGGAATGCGATCTTTCAGGACCCTCGGTGGCGGATCGAAGTGACGAATCCTTTGGCAGCTGTGGTGGACGATTCTCTGACTGAGAAGAAAGAGCCCGAGTGGAGGATTAAAGTGCTAAACGCACAGGAGGAAGACGATTCTCTGACTATGAGCTTGTGAAAGTACGGTGCTACCAGCATAGCGAGTGCTCGAGAGGTTTAAACGGCGGGATTAGTGTGGTCTAGAATGCACTCTGGCTTCGCTCTAAACGGCACCAACGGACGATGCCTTGCTCTCATGAAGTACCGAGTGAAACGAACAAAAGAGCGAACCCTAGGCCAACCTCCCAACCCTTAAGGCATTACGGCCTTAAATCCCACCGGCCATGGAATATTCTTGGAATATTCCCGTGGTTCGTGTCATTCTCCTCTCCCTCATGACCCAGCCACATACGGTAGCCTCGAGAAGCTATACGAGCCTCAAATGAAGGGAGTCCAAGGCAATACGGCCATGGAGAGAAGATGTGCAAACGGCAACACCAACGTCGCAACAAACGGTCACAAAAGAAAGAAAGCAATACGGCTTTCTTACATGACAATACGGTCATGGAAAACAAGAGAATGAGAATAGAACAAACGGCTCAAATCATATAGCAATACGGCTATAGAACTCAATTCTCCCCTTCCTCAGGAATGTCATCCAAGTCATAACCAAAACTCGGAAACACTCTCTTCACGTCATCCTCAGTTTCCCATGTAGCTTCATCCATGGAATAACCATTCCATTGAACTAACAACTCCCTAGTTGTTTTCCGGCGTGTTTTCACCAATCTTTGAGCAAGAATATTGGCTGGACCAGCCTTCTCTGCATCAATCTCTAGAACCTGGATAATGGACTGATCCACGATATCACCAGAGTGCAAACACGTTTTAAGCTTGCTCACATGGAACGTTGGATGAATCTTCGAACTAACTGGCAAGTCCAAAGTGTATGCAAGATCCCCTACACGCTGTAAAATTGTCCAAGGTCCACAATACTGTGGAGACAACTTAGCACTGCCACCTCCTTTTAGAGACCGTTGTGCATCCGACAGCTTAAGGAAAACCTTGTCACCAACTTTGTACTCTTGATGACAACGATGCTCATCAGCCAATCTTTTGTCTCGTTCTTGAGCTTGCCTCATGTTCAATTTTGCCAACTCAAGCTTGTCTTGCATATCCTCCAGGAAATCACAAGCATGAGGAACCCGAACCAAAGCCAAATTCAAACTCACAGGAGACCTAGGCTCATAGCCATACATCGCCATAAAAGGAGACATGCCAATAGCCGATTGATGAGCGCTATTGTGAGTAAATTGAAGCAAAGGCAAGTATTTTTCCCATACTCCCTGTCGAGTCAAGTTTCCCACAAAAGACCGTAGCATATCTTCTAATAGCTGATTCATGCGCTTTGTCTGCCCATCAGATTGTGGATGCTCACCACTACTCATGCTCAGTTTAGTCTCTAGTTTTTCAAAGACCGTTTGCCAAAACTTGGACGTGAACTTAGGATCCCGATCACTCACAATGTCACCCGGCAAACCATAGAGACTGAATAACCGGTCTACAAACAACTAAGCAAGTTCAGAAGCTTTTATCGTTGTCTTCACAGGGAAGAAGTGAGCCATCTTCGTCAAACGATCCACAACAACCCAAATAGCATCATTTCCTCGAAAGGTTTTGGGCAAACCAGTGATAAAGTCCATCGAGATGCTATCCCACTTATTCTCGGGTACACGTAAAGGATGATAGAGGCCAGCGAGCTTCTGATGATCATCTTTGACCGCCTGGCAGGTCAAGCAACCACGTACGTACTTCTCAACATCTGACTTCATCCCAGGCCAAAAAAAATGCCTCTTCACCAACATATACGTTCTCAATACCCCCGGATGCCCAGCATTTGGCACATCATGACACTCAACCAAAATCCGTTTGATGAGTTTGTCAACACGAGGAACCACAACACGTCCCTTCTTCACCAGGATTCCATCTCGTATTTCGAATGACGCAAACTTGTCACCCTTCAAATCTGTAGAGGCGTCCCTCAACAAAACCTTCGCGCGAATATCAGTGATGAAGGAGTCGAAGTCAGCAAACTCCTTAAGCTCATCCAAGAGATTGCTGGATAGCTTCACAAACGAGATAGAATTTACCATCCTGGATAATGCATCAGCCACCTTATTGTCACCTCCATGCTTGTACCGGATCTTAACAGACATTTCCTGCAGGAACTCTTGCCAACGAGCAAGGCGGCCTCGAAGATCCACATCTGGAGAGACTGATGATCTGAAACTATATGGAAGTCCGATCCATATAGATAATGTTGCTATTCTTGAGTAGGTCAATTCTGCTGTGTGACATCAAACTTGTGGCTCATGAAGGCGAGAGAATGCCTAACTTGAAGCAATACGGCCTCAAAAGCACTATCACTCACATCATTGCCTATAATTTCCACCATAGTCACCTTATCATTCATTGACCCCTTCAGAACAATCCTTGCTATGATGTCCAGCTCTATGGCAACGAAAACAATTGCCCTCCGCCTTGTCTTTCTCTCGTTGGTCCAAACGAAGTTTTTTAGCTTCACTGCCATCTTCATGCTTCGAGCCACAACGGAATAACGACCGTTTCTTCCCCGAATATGAAGAATTAGCAAGCTGGTCATCACGTTGACTACTCCGTGGACTATCTCGTTGACCAGAGTTGACCAAGTTGACTGACGGTTCGGGCGAAAAGATCTGAGCCTTAGTGATAGTATCAGTCAATGTTGCTAGAAAATCTTTCTTGACCTTTTGCTGCACATCCACTAAGCTCAATCCTTTAATAAAACATTGCACCTTTAGCAGCTCATTGTAGGTGCCCGTGAGACTAAGGCAAAGATCACGGAACTTGCGGGCATACGCATCCAAAGACAAAGTCCCCTGCCGGATCTCTAACAACTGATTCACGAGATCAACCTCTTCAAACTTCTTGACAAACGAAGCATGGAAAACCTTTGTCAAATCAGTCCAAGAAGTCGGCATCGGATTAGCTTTGATGTAGTTCTTCCACCACGAAGAAGCATGGCCCGTAAGCTTCGTCACAAAGAAATCTATCTTCACCTTATCCTCACAAGGATTGTGAGACCAACAACTTTCCCACAATTCCAACTAAGAATCAACCTCTTGACTATCACAAACATCCGGTGATGATTTCCATTCCACGATACCATAATCCTTGGCATGCTTGACGTACCAATGGTAATCACGGACATGAGATTGATTCAACCTTTGAGGGTTCATGCGAAGCAAGAAATCTTTGATGAGATTGACGGAATCCTTAACCTCCTTTATGTCGCTTTGAACTACAGAAATCTGGTGTCCTTGCTGCAGAACGACATCATCAAAAGTCTCTTCCGCATCGTCATGGCTATCCTCACTAACGCCATACTCCTCATCAGGATCAATATCTTGCTCACCCGCCATCCCCAAAAGAACGTGCTGCTCTGATACCAATGAAACGAACAAAAGAGCGAACCCTAGGCCAACCTCCCAACCCTTAAGGTGTTACGGCCTTAAATCCCACAGGCCATGGAATATTCTTGGAATATTCCCGTGGTTCGTGTCACCGAGGCTGTGATCTGGACGCTCAAACGGTTGATACTGCATTGGAGGGCCTGTTCCAGTGTTTGGAGTGAAGAAGACACAGAGAGCTTCGTCGATCTGCAAAGGTTATATTCGTCGTGACAATCTCTATGCAAGGTGTCGAAGCCTCATCAAGTTTTTAAACGAACACCCCGGAAGCAACATCGTGGACTATCTTGATTGCCGGCTATGCTCAGCACAACGAACCGGACGAGCTGTTTCAACGGATGCTGATAAACTTTCGTGGCAGAACTGAAGGCTTGGGCAGCTCTGGCAATTGGGAAGGTAATTCACTTGACTATCTCCAAATATAGAGACGAAGTCATTGCGTCCGTGGCCAACTCAAAGCGAGAGTATCGGCTGTCAAGATGGCGAAAACGATGCCTTTGTTGATTATATTTTATGCTTTAAGATTTATTTCGACTTTTATTTGTTGAAAAAGAAAGGAGATTAAGTAGTTGATTTCACCGTATCTTTTATTAGCTAATAATTTTATTATTTTTGGCAAAAAATAAAAAAATTAATGGAACTTAAATAGTATGGAAAGGTGGTTTTAAAGAATTATAAGGAATAACTTTGTTTCTCTTTGTTTCTCTTTTCTGTTGATGTTATTAGTTGTCTGAGTGTGTGCCAGTGTTCTAACGTGGATAGCAAGCTCAACAACTTTACAATAGACTAGGCATGTCAAAGAGAGAGTTAGCATTTGTTAGTTTTTAACTTTGAGTTAATTTGTTAGTTCTCTAATAGCAGCTTAACTAATAAAAGATGACAAAATCAACTATAAATTCATTTAATCTCCTTCAAACATTATTCTTCCTTTTTAATAAATAAAAGTAGAAATAAAATTTAATGCATAAAATAACCAACATAACCCAAGCTTTTCGCATCCTCTAGAAAGTTCAAAATTTAGTTTTGTGTCAAAACTTTCTTGGCTCCCAAAACCAATCCATTATTGAGTAATGCCAAGAAAAATCCTCACAAGAGTATACTCACAACAGCCCTTTGTTCCACCACCTTTTGAGGACTTGCAGTGATGAAGATCATGCTTCTTTAGGAATTCACAACAGCCCTTTGTTCCACCACCTTTTGAGGACTTGCAGTGATGAGGATCATGCTTCTTTAGGAATTCATCCAGGTCTGGAACATCATCTCCCCCAATACTCATAATAATTTTACTTTTTGACAATACTTTATATGCTAGAAGTCTAATTGGAGGAGAGAGAAAATTAATGGAAGGGCTATAATTAAAATAGAATGGCATAGTGAAGATAATGGTTATAAAAATTATAAGATTGCTTTGTCATTTTGCTCTGTTTCAAGCCAAACATGATCACTTGGGAAGTGGAAGAATGTTATAGCCAGACAAGAAGCAAACTGTAGCCTATGTGCATATGGGACTGTAGGCAAAGTTTAGAAGAAGTTCAGACACTGACAAACATGGCATCATTCATAAGGTCGTACTTATGTGTCCACGAGGCTGCTCATGACAAATACATCGGATTCATATCCACACTTCGCACCCATCCTGCATGAATCTTCCATGCTCCCACTCCTTGCATACAGATCTACCAGACTCCTTGCCATGAACATACACTCCCTATGTACATGAGTTTTATCCTGTATGTCATCAGGCAAAGCTCCTTGCGTCTGTCTTCTTTGGTGTTGCAGACGAAGTAAAAACGAAGCCAACTGCGCATGTCATGGAACTCTCCAAACTTGGAATCTTCTGTTGCTCCTTCTCGCCCTCTTCCTTTTCCGGATTCAAGGAATTTGACTATGGATCTCGAGTGTTTGGAGAAGTTCCAGCAGGAATTCAAGGACAAGCTCAAGCACAGCTAAGAATGTGCTCACACAAACTTTGTTTTTCCACTCTTCTTGAATAGTCCATTGTTTTACAAATAGGTTGACGCTCATGTTCCGGCGTTCCTCCGGCGAGGAGATGGACGAGCTCGAGTTCCAACGATCTGGTGACCGAGTACCAGCAGTACCGGGCGCTTCCATGACAACGATGACTTTGGGGAGGATCCCTCCACAGCGTAAAAACCACTCTCTTTTTTCACAAAGTACTATTTTTTTCCAAGTCAAGGGTTAGGTTATACTTTTTCGCTTGGATTTTTCTATTCGAGATGTCGGAACGTAAGTTTCAGAAACCCAACCACAAAACACAATCATGGCTCACGATGGCTCACAAATATTCTAGTGAATATTCTAAAAATATTTTATTTTTAATTCTAGTAATGTAGTACTTTTTATTATATATAAACTACTCAAACATCCTACAAATCATCATTATCTTCAACCTAACTGACGAAAGGGCGGTTTCGTCAGGTATGGATGCTTCTCTCCATCAAGAAGCTATGGTCTCTCGTGATCATGGGCCTCCAACGCTTGGCCGCCGAGCTCAAGCGCCCTGGCATGGCGGCCATCACCGAGCTTCACACCCGCGAGCACCAGCTCCAGCTCCAGCGCATCGAGCAGCGCATGGACACCACCGTCCTCGAGCATCTCATGGAGGCCACGAGCCAGCGCCAGCTTTAGCTCCAGTTCTTCAAGGTGGCGCTCCAGTTCCAGCTCCGGCTCCAGCGCCAGCTGCTTTCGTTCATGCTCGCGGCCACCACCCTGGTGATCGAGCTCCAGCGCCTGCTCTCCTTGATCATGCTCGCCACCACGATCCAGCTCCAGCAGCAGCGGTGTACCATCATCATCACGGTGATGGAGCTCCTCTGGTTGTTCACCACCATCACCATGGTCACCATCACGGAGGCCACCACCATCACCATGGTCACCATCATGGAGGCCGCCACCACCACCACCACCACCACCACCGTCGCGACGGTCACAACGCAGCGATGGCCACACCGACACCCGCGGCAGTGGTTACAGTGGCTCGGAGGACGCCCTGGTCGCTGCTCCAGCTTCTTCTCTGGGTTTTGGTTGCGATCTTGGTGCTGCTTGCGTGCTTTTTGCTAGTGCGATGGATGTTATCTCGAAGGAAACAGCGCAGGAATGCGATCTTTCAGGACCCTCGGTGGCGGATCGAAGTGACGAATCCTCTGGCAGTTGTGGTGGACGATTCTCTGACTGAGAAGAAAGAGCCCGAGTGGAGGATTAAAGTGCTAAACGCACAGGAGGAAGACAATTCTCTGACTATGAGCCTGTGAAAGAACGCTGCTACCAGCATAGCGAGTGCTCGAGAGGTTTAAGCGGCGGGATTAGTGTCGTCTGGAATGCACTCTGTCTTTGCTCTAAACGGCACCAACTGACGATGCCTTACTCTCATGAAGTACCAAGGCTGTGATCTGAAGGCCTGTTCCAGTGTTTGGAGTGAAGAAGACACAGAGAGCTTCGTCGATCTATTTCCAAGCTGCAAAGGTTATATTCGTCGTGACGATCTCTATGAGCCTCGTCAAGTTTTTGAACGAATACCCCAGAAGCAACATCGTGGACTACCTGATTGCCGGCTATGTTCAGCACAACGAACCGGACGAGCTGTTTCAACGGATGCTGGTAAACTTTCGTGGCAGAATTGGCAGCTCTGGCAATTGGGAAGGTAATTCACTTGACTATCTCCAGATATAGAGCCGAAGTCATTGTGTCCGTGGCCAACTCAAAGCGGGAGTATCACTGGTGCTGAGCATGTAGTACCATGGACTGCCGAGCTATGGTCACTGTTCTGGAAGTCTTAAAAATGGACGGCATTGCTTTCACTTCATCCTCACTGAGTGTAGCCATGCTGGCTTGGTCCACACAGCAATCCCGGCAAGTCAGTAACAAGCACTTTCACTGAGGCTTTCACTGTATGGCGGTGACGCTGCGAAAACGATGTCTTTTTTAAATTATATTTTATGCTTTATATTTCGTATTGAAAAAGAAGAATAACTGGAATTATAGTTGATTGCATCATATATTTTATTAGCTATTATTATATGCTAGAAGTTTTTTTTGGAGGAGAGAGAAAAATAATGGAGAAGCTATAATTAAAATAGTATGGAGAAGAGGTTTAAAAGAGCCTAGTGGAGATTGGTCTGGGATAACAAAATGGTTTTGAAGAATTATAAGGAATAAAAGAGTGTTCCTTTGTTTCTAGACGTTTTTGGTTCTGTTGCTGGGAAATGCAAAGTTGTCTGAGTGTGTGCAAGTGTTGTATGTCAAAGAGAGGGCATTTGCTAGTTTTTAGTCTTGAGTTAGCTTTGGAGGAATGATATCAAGAAGGTTCTCTAATACCATCATGTTTTCTGAAACAGCTTAGCTAATAAAATCAACTATAAGTCTTAATCTTACCACATATTCTTCCTTTTTAATAAATAAAAGTAGAAAGTATAAAATAATCAATATAACTTCACAGACCAGCTTTACAGAAAGTTTAAATATAATTTTGGTGTCAATACTTTCTAGCTCCTATGGATTGACTGCCAATATCTATAGAAGCAGGCTCCCAAATGATGAATATTCATTTGTGTTAGGGTAAAATTTATAAATTTGGATATGGTCTTTTATTTTGACTTTATTTTCGGGCTCAACTTGACCAAACCTTAAGCTTGCATTAGTAGTCTTTTTATTTTAATATATGAATGACTACTTGAATCAATAAACTAATCCTACAGTCTTGATTCATCCACTCATAATTATAGGAGGTTTATTTTTACTTATAGTATTATGGTAATAACTTAAAGTAACCACTGATAAACTAACATTAATCTTTCTAACTCAAAGTGTAACTTTAAATTGCTCACTCACAAGCTTAAGCATAACCACCAAGGGGAACAAAATAAGACTTAAGTTTCAGGGTTTTCAATTATTGAACAAAGGGATAAAGCCAAACTCTTAAGCACACAATCAAAAAGTAAAAGAATAAGAGTATGAAACAATATTAAAATTTAGAGCATCCAATATTTCAATACTAAGACTAATATATAAAATAAAACCAAATATATTCTAATGCTAATTTTGGCATATTAATGGTATAATATAAGGACATAGATACTTCACCAGCTAAGGAGCTTGGGTTTAAACAAAATTAGATGTAGAACAAAGAAAAATATACCTTGTTAAATAGGTTGGTCCTTACTATACATTTGGACCCCTTAATATGAAAGCTAGCTTTAGGTAGTTTTAAAAGTTAGTTTTTAGGATAAACTTAGAATACAAGAATGTTGAATTTGATAATGTGGAGCAAGGTGACACCATTGAACTAACTTCATCAAGCAATGATATCATCATTCAACAAATTTACAACAACATAATTTAAATGTTATATGTTGGTGAAATTACAGCAGATATAGTTTAATGACAATGTTTCAAACCATAATCAACAAGCACTGCTTGTTGCTCTCCTTAAATTTGTAGGTGTCTTGCAATACTAACAGTAATCAATGGTTTTTTTCACCCATTGACATGATTTTCAGGCACAGTATCTGGACCCACATGCACCCAAGGATGCCACAACAGGATAATGGAGTTTCCACTTATGATTTGTCCTTTTGCAATGTTCACGCGAGCCAGGGAATACCATAGGAAACACACGATTCATAAGACGCTGCTCCTGGTAACTTCACGATAGCACCCAGACCAATTCTCCACAGATCTAGCAAGATCGTCACGATCATTGCCGCAGCCAAGGAATCAATGGCAGTTTGCGACAGCGTCCATCGAGAGCGAGGATTTTCATCTAGCCTGCACATCAAAACTAAAGTCTCTATCGCGCTCGGGCGAAGCGAAGCGAACGAACCTGATAAACATGGGGAAGCTCACAAAAAAGTATATGGCGTAGAATAGCGATCCAATTCTGTAGAATGCGTCTCTGTCCACCATGTCGTAGTAAGGAAACTATAAAAGAAGGAAAGAAACTTGTCTATCAGCTTCGTGAAGTTCATAAAAGGAAAAGTGCTTACGTTGGAGATTGTCACAGCTTCCATGAACGCCGTAAGGTAGGACAAACCGAAGATCCACAGCGCTTGACATCCCCAGCTAAAAACTCGGTTTGATCCTTTGAGAGCGTGGCGGAGTCGCCTCAGCGTGAAGTCGGACACCATATGATAAAAGAGGAAGTAAGCATGCGTAAGGAAGAATGTCACAAGCGGCACCTGGAACGATCAGTCCATCGTTTCAGCAAGCGATGTTACGAGAAACAAGGAAATTGAAAACTTTGTACCGTGCTCGTACATGATTTAACCTCCAGGACGGGAACGTGTAAGTTGCACCAAGAACAGTGTAGAAGTAATGCGTCCAGAAGTAGTTTCCAACGTATCCGAAAATCGCAACCCACAAGTTCGCCTGGAAAACGAGAACAGCAATCCACAAGTTAGCCTGGAAAACGAGAACAATCGGACATAGCTAGCTATAAAACCAGGAAGAAGCATCCACACCTTTATCCAGTAGCGATCATACCAACGCAGCTTCTTGTCTTCCTGATCAAAGAAAGACATCACGAAACAAGTCGGAAAGACTGAAAGAAAAACTCCAATACCTTTCCAACGAGAAACACTGGAACGACAAAACACGGCAGTGCCACCACCAATCCCAGCAGAAAATACTCGAGCTCCTTAAAATGCTGAGAGAGAGAGAGAGAGAGAGAGAGAGAGAGAGAGAGAGCCCATTACTTCCTACATTGCCAAGATCAAAGTTTTACCTCGTAGATCCTGAGCGGCACTATGATTCCGAGACACAGCACGATCCAAACGGGACTATACGCCAGAAAGAAGAGCTCGCCCCATCGCTTGCTGGGACAGGGCGCCAGCCACAAGCTCCCGCTGGATTTCCTATCCAATCCTGCAAATGCAGCACAAGAATCTCATTCCAGCGCAACTCCAAATCTTCCCCTACCTCGCACAGGAGCAGCGGCGCCATCGGCAGCGCCATCGCTCTTCCTCCGCTGCTTGAGCGCTCCCATCCCGCCCTAAAAATTTAGAATATCAGAGGTTTAAGCCTAACGAGGTTCGATTCCAGCGAGTAGCTTCTTCTTCTTCTTCTCATTTGGCCAAGTACTCCTCCGCGAAGCTCTTATCTTTCGGTGACAACTCGCGTTCCTTGAATCGAAAAGCACTGCGAAGCATGTCTTTAGCTTTCCCATCCGGCCTACACCCAGCCTTGATCATCTCGTCAAACACACCCGAGACCTCGTCCAGCTTCTCGGCTCGGATCAAAGCCTTCATGAGCGTCGTGTAAGTGATCTTGTCCGCCGTCAATCCAGCCTCCTTGATGTACTCAAACACCGCGAACGCCTCCTGGCTTCTCCCGGCCATGCTGAAGGCGTTGATGAGCAAGTTGAGCATCGCCAGGTTGATCTCGATGTTCTCCTTCTCCATCGTCTGGAGGACATGAAGCGTCTGCTCGCACATCCCCAGCTGCGCGTACGCGTTCGCCAGAGCCGAGTAAGCCGTCGGCGATGGCCCCATTCCATCCTCCTTCATCGTCTGGAGACACTCCACTGCGTCCTGGAAGAGCCGCGCTTGAGCGTAGACGTCCACCAAGGTTGTGTAAGTCACCACGTTTGGAAACATCCCCTTGGAGCGCATCTCCTCCACCATCTCGTTCACGTCGTTCCACCGCTTGTGCTCTCCCAGGCCGTGGATCACGATGTTGAAAGTTTGAGCCGTGGGAGCGCAGCCATCGTTCACCATCTTGTAGTAGAGTTTTCTCGCTTCTAGAGGCTGCCCCGCCTTGCAGCAGGCGTCTATGAGCGAGTTCCAGGACACCACGTCCGGCTCGATGCCACCATCTTGCATTTTGAAGAACGCGATGCGGGCTTGCTCCAGCTGCCTGGTCCGGCCGAAGGTGTTGATGATCACGTTGTAGACGTGAGCGTCGGGTGTGACTCCTGCTTGCTGCATCTCTCGCAGGAGCTTCACGCCTTTCTGCCACTGCCCTGTGTCCCTGTAGATCGTTATCATCCTCGCGTACATGTAGGTGTTGGGCCGGATATCACAGTCCCGCATCTCCTGATAGAGAGCTTCCAGCCGATCCATAAGCCCCGCGCGAGCGTAAGCATCGATGAGCAGGCAGTATGTTATCTTGTTTATCGACATCCCTGTGTCTCGGAGTAGCGTCTTGACGGTGTCTATTTGTTGTAGCTGGCCTTTCCTCGAGTAGCCACCGAGAAGCGTGTTGTAAGCCTTGAGGTTCGGCCTCAAGCCATACCACTTCATTTCTTCCAGCAGAGCTTCCGCCTCGGCAGTCCTCCCGTGCTTTCCGAGAGAAAGCATCAGCGATATGTAGCTATCCCTGTCCGCCACCAGGCCGGAAGCTTGCAACTTCTCCAGGAAAAACATGCCTTCGTTGGGCTTGTGAGCTTGTCCACAGGCAAAGATGAGATCGTTGTAGACTTTTCCGTCAACCTGGACGCCCTCGGCTTGCATTTCCTGGAAGAGCCTAAACCCCGTGTAGATATCCACAACACCATGCCGGCAAGCTTGAATGACGTGCGTGTAGCTCACCACGTCCGGAGGAAAGCCGAGAGTCTTCATCTTGCTCAAAGTCTCTAGAGCTTTTCCATAGTCCCTGTTCTGTGCGTAAGCCCCGACGAGAGCATTGTATCCACGTCGCTGAAGATTGGATCCAAGCTTCTCGGCCACCTCTAGAGCTTTGTGTAGTTTCCTCTCCCTTCCATATCCATGGATGACCACCGAGTCCAAGACGTCGTAAGTCCGGCAGAAGGAATTCTCTCGGAGCCATTCCAAGAGCTCGGAAGCAAAGCTACTGCGTCCACTTACACACAGTTCTTGCAAGAGCCAGTGCCACGCTCTCTCTGGAACCTTCCTAAACTGTTCTACAGCAAACTTCTCCCCTATAGCGTTCTCCCTTTCCAAGCTGCCGAGCAATGCCTTCCAAGGCAATCCACCGTTCCAGTGATTCCGGAGCCTCTTCTCAATCTCCTCTAGCGAGATCTCCCGAAGCTTACCTCCATTCCGCGTGAAAAGCTTCTCATCTACGCCCTCTTGATCCTCCTCCTCCTCCCAAACCCTGAGCTCATCAATCGGGTCTCCATCCTCTTGAGTCCATTGCTGATCATCCGAAAGAGAGCAAAATCCTACCAATCCTTGCGCCTGCCGTGGCCGCCATGGCGCCATGGCCGCGGAGAGCTTCATCGATGCCATCGCCGTGGAAGAGTGGAAGAATGCAGCGGTGTGGAAGGCTGTGGACGCCATAGCTCCACTCCCGCCCTAAAATCAAAATATCGAGGTTTAACTTATACCCTAGACGAGGGCTCGATTCCAGCGAGTGAAAATTTGCCAGTGTACGTTTCTACCAATGCAATGTGCGTGATTTCATGCATATAAGCTCTCTTCTTCTTTCTCTCGCCTTTGCACGATGGCTATGGCTTCCAGCAATGGAAAGCTTGTGTGCGTCACTGGAGGAACTGGCTACATTGCCTCCTGGATCGTCCGCGAGCTCCTCCAAAGGGGCTACACAGTCCACACCACTGCGCGCAATCCAGGTGAGGAACACCACCGTGATTATTTCTTCCACACGCGATGGATCGATCGATGCTTGCTTGCTTGCGAAGATGATCCCGCCAAGGTCGGCTTCCTGTGGGACTTGCCCGGAGCGAAGGAGCGCCTCCGGATCTTCAAGGCCGATTTGCTCGAGCCGGGCAGCTTCGACGCCGCGCTGAGTGGCGTGTACGGCGTCATTCACGTCGCTGGCGTCGTGCTGATCGATCCCAAAGACGATCCACAGGTTTGGTTTCTCTCGCAAAATCTTTGAACACTCCACCAAACTCTTTGATCGTTATCGTTCTGCTTTGTTTCTAGCTCAAACTCGTCGAAACCTCCACCAATGGCGTGCTCAACGTCCTCGGCTCGTGTACAAAGTTCTCCTCCATCGCCAAGGTCGTCCTCACTTCATCCTGCTCGGCGATTCGCTACGACCACCACCACCAAACTGGAAAGAACGATTCACTGCTTGACGAGAGCTCCTGGACGAATCCGGGCTACTGCAGCCAACACAAGGTCCCAAAAGATCTGTTTTGTCAGATCCATCCAGTTGATAGAGATGATCATCTTCGTCTCTTGTTTGTTTCTAACCAGTTTCTTTTGTCTCGAATCGTTTCTTCTTCCCTGTTTGTTCTAGTTCTAGCTAACGAAATCTCTTGTTTCTCTCCAGCTATGGTATCCACTGGCCAAGACACTAGCCGAGAGGACTGCCTGGGATTTTAGCAAGCTCCATGGGATCAATCTCGTCGTGGTGAATCCATCCTTCATCGTTGGACCGCTTCTACAGCCGGTTCCAACCAGCACCATCCTCATCGTCCTCGGCATGCTCAAAGGTCGAGAGAAAAAAAAAACCAATTTTTTGCTCAAGATCATCCTATTCGTTCCAGGCCATATCAAGCTCTATCCAAACATGATCGTCGGCTTCGTTCACATCCAGGACGTGGTAGCAGCACACCTCCTCGCCTACGAATCCCCCGACGCGGCTGGCCGATACATTTGCTCCGAGAGAGTGGCTCACTGGAGAGAAGTTCTCGAGATGCTACGAGCGAAGTATCCCCAGTATCCTCTTCCAAGCGAGTAAGAATCCTTTCTCACGATCACTCACCACAAGATCCAACAATGCAGGCCATCCCAGGACCAAGGCCAAGACATTCCTCACGAGATGAGCGCTGAAAAGCTCAAGCAACTCGGCCTCGAGAGTTATCAGCCGCTGGAGAAGATGTTTGACGACTGCATCGAGAGCCTCAAACTCAAAGGTTTTCTGGAATGAAAAGAACAAGCGCTTCTTCTATAGATGGAATAAGTAAACAAACACACACGAAAACAATGGAAAGTGGAGAGCACTTCCCTTCGTAACTTGGAAACTTTCCTCCTAGTGCGAGCAGACAAGCGAGCTCATGAAACTCCACCAGTGCTTGAGCGGATGTGAGATCGGCTGCGTGACACTGGTCTGTCGCTCGGAGATCTCATCGGCCTTCTTTCGATAGAGGAGGAACTGCCGAGTTCCAAGTACCCCGATGCATTCATTAGAGTCGAGAGCTGTTAGACAAGAGAGAACCAACTTAGAATCGATCACCACCAGGGGAAAATCTCTTACGTACCTTTGAAGTCGCCATTGTCGCAGTAGAGCTCCACAAGCTGCTTGCTAAGTAGAGGAAGCCTCCCCTCGCGAGCATACACACGAAGAGCCGTGTCCACAACACGTCCGACGGTGTCAGCTTTGTCCACGAGAAAACGTAGAGGACCGGGGCTTCCCAGGACAGTCACAGTGACTAGCATAAGATTTGCATCACCTTTTCCCTGCAAGACGCAAGAACAGCTCAAGAAAAACGATGGAAGAAACGAAAGAAAAAGGACTTCCAACGTACCTGGCTCTTGCTCAGCAGCGCAGCCAATGGAGTCTTCCCCGGAGGCCTCTTGGCGGAGAGATTCTCATCCGCATAAGCTCGACTCGGAGCGTTCTTATCCTTCTCCGCCACCACCGGCACCTTTCTCCCGGGCACCACCACCATAGCCTTGGACTTTGGAGAAGTTCGTCCTTTAGAACCGAGTGAGGAGCTGCTGGAAGCCACCACTTCCATCGCGTGAGGAGCCATTCGCGAAGAAGCAGCAGCAACGAAAAGAAATCTTCGTAGAAGTAGCAATCTTGGAGAGGAGAGGATGATCTTGCTCGCTGTGGAAACCAGCAGGATCGTTGTCAAAATGTTCTTTCAGCCCATAAGTGCCGCCAGAAGTACGTGGAGAGCTCTTCCGGCACAGAAGACTCTCATCTAAATCCTCGCTACGAAAGGATCAATGCCGAGAACGCACGAGTCGGAGCCTGGGAGCCCAGTTCGATAGAATTGGATGCCAACGCGGTAAAACTTCTTGGCCAAGGTGCTGTCAAGCCGCAAGCTTTGGCTCCAGGATGAGCCCGCTTGCTTCGCCGAATCACTCTGCATAAATGATGTGATCATCCAATGGAGCCAAGCGCCCACCCCACACGAGTTCGCTCGCTTCGCTGCGCCAAGAACAACAAAGGAAAAGATGATCAGTGACCAAAGGCGTGATCCGAGTCAAATTGGGGGATCGCGCAGCGCCCACAAGAGATTTGTGTGCCATTTGCTGGCGATCGATGAGTACCTTGAAAGCGCGGAAAGGATTGCGACGCTGCCACGAACCGCTCTCAAAGGATCATAGCCGCCGCTCAAGCACAGCCTGCGAGCCCTAACGCCATCCCGGCCTTACATTCGCTCGCGCAACGGCCGCGATTGCCGCTGACGTGGCGGTCTCGCGGCCGTTGGACAGGCCACGTTTGACACGTTCAAAAGGGGCGAATATGCCCAGAACGGATATCCTCAGAATTCTCGTTTGAAGTTTAGTTTCTTACACGGCGGGAGCTCCAGCTTGGTGATGCTCGTCGCCGGGCGCTTCCGCGAGCGGCAAAACTTTGCGAGTTTTTCTTCCACGACATTGCCCGAGCTGTTGAATTCGATGCCATAGCTTCGCATGATCCTGGCGTCGCGAGAAGTTGGGAGCTGCCATGGCCCGTCCCACCAAGCGTGAGGGAGTAGCGGAGTTATAGCACATTGCGTGGTTTGGTTCGCGCAGCTTAGCCTGCCACTGAAAGTTCTCCAAGCGTGGCCCCATCCTCGCTGCGAAGAAAGGCCGCGAGTCACTAGAGCCGGATGGAAGCTGCTGTAGAACATGAAATCCTCTTCTTTTTTCCCGTGCTCGTCGCCTGGAACTGGAAAAGAATCAGTGAGTGGACCACGAAATGGAGAATCTCGATCATCATACCAAGGGTATTTGCGGCCGCTAATGATGCGAGCAATTGAGCGTAAGTGGTGGCAACTCGTTTGGATCCCCCCGAGACTACTCCATACTTTGCTCTTGATGCCAAAAAGAAATCGACGAGTGCCACCCAGCGAGGTAACGGACCCCAGTCGTCGACTCGCTTTTTTGGAGGCTGTTCACATTTTCACACGCTTTAGCGAGTGACAAACATTTCGAAACGCATTCAAGCGCTCTACCTGGAAGTAGTTCTCTTTCATGACGTCGCTCACGTTTGGTGACGAGGCCAGGTATAGTCTATAATCGAAGTGTATGACCTGGTCCAAGAAAACGATGCTCGAGATCATTATCAAAGATTGGAGAAACCGTTTTAAAATACCTCAGCGAATGCTTCCAAGTTCGTCCTCATGTAGTCGACAACGGCAGGAGTGTCTGTCACGATCGCTATTCGAGGAAGTCTGTCTAAGTTGAGCTGGTTTATCATTCTTTTCAGGCAAATACAAGCTGTTTCCACAGCACGTCTGGACCTGAAAAATCGTCGTGATCAGAAACAAAAAGAATGGAAAAAAAATTCAAAAGCTAGAACCTGCTGTGTAGCATTCGCAAGTGAAGAGCTAAGTCGGGATCTCGCCCGCCGCCAAGAGCCCACCGAACTGCGTCAACAATATCCGGCTTTGGTGAGACAAATGCGTGCATGAGCTCTCCGTAGAGATTCCCACGCGTGGAAGGTGCAAATGAGTCTCCCAGAATCTTTGTCGCAGCGGTTTTCATTTTGAAGTTGATGTTCTTGAGGAAAATCTGTAGAGCGACAGCGTCTTGAGCACCATAAAACCTGGACAGGGGATCACGTTAAATGCTGCCATAAGAACCACATAATTACCAGATAATTGGCTGTGACCATTTGCTCCAATCTCCGCACAGAGAGTTTGTTCCTGACGGCCTTTGGATTAAATCCATTCTCAGCTTGAGAGGCCGTTTATACCTCGTAGCACATTCGTGAATCACCCACAAGTGTTTCAGTTCTCTCATAGTGAAAGTTTCGCGAGAGAACGAAATGTAATCGCCAAATGGATGGTGTGTCCTCTCGTTTAGTCCTAGATATCCCGGGTTCTGGGAGCTGCCAGAGAAGAAATAGATCAAGCATCCACAGAAGAAAAATGGTTTGAAGCACCTGTCCTCCCCGACGATGAGCGATCGGTTTAGCATCAGAGATAGTCCAGCGGCAGTCAAGATCTTGTACATTTCATTACCAAAGCCGTCCTCTTTAGCTCTTCCAAAGATAAAGTTCCTCTTGCAAAAGTCCTCCCCTGCCAAAGCTCTCACGCGACGAGCGCCTGCAAGCATCTACATACTTTAAGATTTCGCCAGGAAAAGTTCTTAAGCAAAAGAAGAAGAACACAAGCAAAGAAATTCCATACCATGCTCGGCAAAATACTCCTCGATCATTCCTCTCAGATTTAGATCGACAAGTCTGGTGCTCCTCGCAGTAGCCATCGCACCCATTTCCTCCACCGTAGCACAAGTCCTGGAATTTTTGAGCTGGTCCTCCTCTGGAAAATTCCATTCTTCTCTTTCCTCTTGATCCTCCAGAGAATATCTGTTGCTATCTCCCTGTTCTAGAGCCTGTCCATCCTCAGAGCGAAGCCCGTGATCCATTTCTTCTATTGTGTCGGTGATGGCCATTCCCTGGCGAAAATCCCCTGTTTCCTCGAGAAAGAGCCTCTGGCGATGGACGATCTGGCCGTAGAGCGATCCCTGGTGCAACCACGCCGGAATCTTGGCCGAATGGTACCAAATCCAGCAGCCGAGCGCGATTCCCCAGAAGATAAACCAGCTGCTCCATCGCCGGTGCTCCTTGAGCTTCGATTGCTTGACCCTCGCGCTCTGCGGCGGCGGCATTCCCGATATTACACATCATCCCAATCGTAGCGCATTCCTCAAGCGCATCGCCGCCATGGTCGACCTAGATCTTCGTCTCCATCCGGCCCTGTCGATCAAGCGCTTACCCGGGAGATTCTCTCTGGCCGTGCGCAATACAAGTATCAAATCATCGTGTTTGCCTGTTTTCGTTCTTTATCTTTTCTTTACAGGGACGATGACAATGGTGTGTATAAAGGCTATAGGTACCAAGGCTTTCTTGGCGTGTGTAGAAAAGACAAGTATCTTAATGTCCAATGACAGCGTAGTGCCAGTCAAATATTTACTTTAAACCTTGGTAAAGGTAATTAGAATTGCCGCCCAAATTCGAATTTAGGGTTTAGGTCACTCAACCATGAGCTGCTCGCGATGCTTTGGCGGGGCAGCTCTGGCGACGGCGAATTCGAGCGCGCGATCGGCTTCTACAACCGAGGATTCCTGCGCCAGCGCCTCCAGCATCTCATCGGCCGTCGAATCCTTCGCCGAGGTCTCGTCCTGCGGCGCCAAGAACCGGCGCCGGGACTCGCTCTTGAGGGATTCAGACGTGGAAGCGTCATCGCAGGGTCCTAGGCGCACGAGAATGCGATTATCGGGCACGGTTAGTCGCAATCGATATTTCGCTTCGTTTCTGATCGCAGGGTCTGACAGAGCGCAAGAAATTCCAGCGCGAGAGCGGTTTCGATCCAGGCCGACGGCGGAGGAGCCTACATTCCCCCGCCGCTTCCGAAGAACAACGATCTTGAGGAATGACGTGACCGCTACCAGGTGAGATTTTGGTCCGATTCCTCTCGCGTTCTTGGCTCACAGCTCTCACATTCCAGGAACGCGTCTCTAATTTCTCTTTTGCGTGTTGTAGTTCCATTTGATCTTTGACCAAATATTTTTTCTTGTGAAACTTCTCCGTTCCTTTCTAGCTCTCCAATCTTGATCCTTTCTCTCCACTTCGCATGGAACTCTCCACGGCACGCCAAGGACAGGAAATCAACGGTCTCAAACCTTCCAGATGCCAAACACGTGGCCCTTTAAGACATAACACGGGTATGTTTTAGTTCTTTAACGCCTTTTTCTTCTCCTTTTTCTGACCCTTATATATTTGAGGTTAGGGCCAGGGATCCTTCATTGGTGTCGGCGAGCGATGCGTCTTCCTGGAGGTTTGCATAGATTGGCACTGAGGAAATTGATAGGGCAGCAGCGGCGATGCTTTGCCTCTCGCATTGTCTCGCCCGCTCGGTGTCTGGTCGATCGGGCGAATTTTTTCCGGCCTGAGACTGGATTGTCCAGGCTTGTTGGGGGCTTGCTAGGGGCCCCGATCGGCGATGTCAGTGATGCTAGGCAGCAGCAGAGACGAGGGTTTCTGGGTTTTGGTGATGGAGATGAAGACAGGGGGCTTTCCAAGCACTACGAAGAGAAGCGAGTCATGGGGTACATTTTTCCTGTTCGGTTTTTCTCGCGCTTGGGTTCTCAGTATTTGTCCGCAGGTACACGCCAGAGCAACTGTTCGACGTGGTCGCAGGTGTTGATATGTATGAGGAATTTGTGCCTTGGTGCCAACGGTCCAACGTGATCTGGCAGAAAGGCAGCGAACTTGAAGCAGAGCTTGAAATAGGATTTCAGTTCTTTGTCGAGAGCTACACCTCGCATGTTCAGCTCACACGGCCCAAACTCATCAAGGTATGCGCGTCTCTTGGGCATGTTTAGTAACTAACCAGACGTTTATGGACGTAGACATCGGTCTCGAAGAGTGCAATTTTCGAGTACTTGAACAACACATGGGAAATAAGTCCTGGACCTTCTCCCGCAACATGCAACCTCCACTTTACGGTCGACTTTCAGTTCAGGTCTCCTTTGTACACGAAGGTCTGTTGCTTCATTTAGCTTTGCTTGAACACGAAAGAGCTGAGTCGATCCTATTGTCAGGTAGCGAACGTATTTTTTGACGAAGTCGTCGCTCGACTTGTTGCTGCGTTTGAAAACCGCTGCTTGAGGGTATACGGCCCTTCAAAGGTTGTTATGCATGCGTAATCAGGTTTAGGTGGGGTGGGAAGAGGCCCTCCTTTTTTGTTTCCTCTCTTCCATCATTTGTGAAGCACATTGCTTCGAATCGCATTCCGGGATGTAATCTCACTTACCTTCGCCAAACTGGCTTTCTGGTCTGACTACAATGATTTTCGTGTCCTATCAGGTGAAGAATCCTGGAAGCAAGCTGTAGAGTTGTCATTTTTTCCGAGGTAGCCAGTTTCTCTTCTGTAGCTTAGTAATCTAATGTTTTCTTTTAGATTTGAAAAACTGTAAGAGCTTGGAGCGGAAGTGGGATAAACTCCCAAAATGAAGGCTAGTGATGCTTCAGTGATGGAAAGATTAATCATCATAAGACGCTCTCGTGCTAGGGTATTCTCTTGTAGATGACTGAGCTTCGTTTTGTAGCAAGCTGCCTTCCAAAAAGGACGACAAATGCGGCGCCTCTTGACGGAGAAGTTCTTACCAGGTACTCTAAATTGCAAGTGGAAGGGGAAAAGCTGGAGGTCACTTTTCTACTCACCGCATTGAAGTCGTGCAGAAAGCTAAAGGATCTTGAGTTCAGCAAAAGGATTCACAGGGATGCGGTTGCGAGCGGTGACATCTCCAACGTCTTCGTAGCGAACACACTCCTCGACATGTATGTGAAAAGTGGCAGTCTCGATACTGCTCGCAGTCTTTTCGAAGGCATGAAGCAGCGCAGTGCAGTATCCTGGACAGCAATGATAGTGGGATATACTCAGATTGGTCGACCCGAGCTAGCATTGGAACTATACGACCGCATGCAGAACGAAGGCTGTGAACCGGACCGTGTGACACTCTTGGCTGCACTCAAGGCCTGTGCAGCATTTGCAAAGAAAGAAAAGGGACAGCTCCTAGATCAGAAAGTAGTGAGGCTCAAGTGCCTGGCAACGGCCAGCCGTCTTTACTCTCAAGCTTGTCAAGGCGGAGATCAGATGGATACTGCTGTAGGGAACAGTTTGATTGACTTGTTCGCCAAGTGTGGGAGCTTGGAGGACGCTCGCAGGCAGTTCGAGAGCATGCCGAAGCGAAATGTGGTCTCGTGGAACTGCATCATTCTTGGCTATGCTTTAGGCGGGGAAGGCAGGATAGCGCTGGAGTTCTTCGCACGCATGCAGGAACAGGGGTACCAGCCGAGCGATGTCACATTTCTGGCTGCTCTCAAGGCTTGTGCTAGCATGGCTGACAAAGAAGAAGGCAAGCTGGTGGAAGGGAAAATCTTGAAGGTGACAAGCTTGGATAGAGGAAGATTGATCCACTTTCAGGCACTTCGAAACGGGGGCAGTCTGGGTCTCGCGCTAGGCACAAGTTTCGTTGACGTGTTTGCGAAGTGCGGGAGCATGGTGGAGGCTAGAAAAATTTTCGAGGAGCTCCAGACTCGAAGTATGGTTTCTTGGACTGTCATGATACTGGGATACGTACAAAATGGAGAGCCCGACACGGCTTTGAGGCTATTTGCAAGGATGTGGGACGAGAGATGCGCTCCCGATGGTCTCGCGTTCGTAGCTGCTCTCAAGGCGTGTGCTAGCTTGGCAGAGACAGAAGAAGCAAAGCTTGTTGGAGGAAGGCTCGTTAAGTCCGTGGCACTGGAACGGGGAAGGGCCATTCATTCTCAGGCTGCTGGAGCCGGGCTTGTGGATCTTGTGGTGGCGAACACGCTGATCGACATGTACGCCAAGTGTGGAAGCATCTGGGACGCTCGGCATGTCTTTGAAGCCATGAAGAAGCGCAGCGCAGTGTCTTGGAACTGCATTCTCATGGGGTGCGTCCACAATGGCGAGGCCGAGTTAGCTCTCGAGCTCTATCGACGCATGCAGCGGCAGCAAAGCTCGTTATCGTCTCCACCACCAGACGCCGTGACGTTCGTCGCAGCACTGAAGGCCTGTGCGACGCTGGCAGCTCTGGAAGTCGGGACACAGATCGAAGCCGAGATTTGCAACGCGGGTTTGGAGTGCGAGCTGATGGTGGCGAACTCTCTCGTCGATCTCTACGGGAAGTGCGGTGCGATGGGCGAAGCCGAGCGGGTTTTCAGCTCGGTTCCCAGGAAGGATGTGGTGACTTGGAGCTGCTTGATCGCGGGATACAGCTCCAGGGGCGACGCGCTGCTCGTGTTTGAGCTGTTCGAGCGTATGCAAGTGGAAGACAAGCTCCAACCCGACGGTATCACTTTCCTCTCGCTTCTAACGTCGTGTGCCGCGGCAGGACTCGCTTCCAGAGCCAAGGAGTACTTCGTCTCCATGCAAGCGGTGTATGGCATCACTCCCTCGATCGAGCACTACAACTGCGTGGTGGATCTCTTGGGCCGGGTGGGGCAGCTCCAGGACGCAGTGGAAATCGCGAGGAGCATGCCGTATGATCCAGGTGCTGTGGTCTGGATGGCGCTCCTCGACGCCGCCGAGAAGTGGAGTGATCCGGAAGTGGGAAGAACAGCGTACGAGTTCTTGGTGGAAAGAGGAAGATCATCCAAAGCGGCGGGAGCAGCGTCCGCGATAATGGCCAAAATCCAAGCTCACGCCGGGAAGCTTTCAAAAGATTCCTTTTTAAAATAACGTATATTCGTTGAGCGCGAATTTGTGGTGCTTGGTTCGAGTCCCTGGGATGGACTAACTAGGTCACGTCGGCATTCAATGCAGTAGTATGGCGATGATAAAGAAGGGCAAGCGAGGGCTGGCGATGGGGGCAGGGTTTCTTTTTGTATTCTTTCTTCCTTCCTCTCTCTCTCTCTCTGGTGTCCTTTGTTGCCGGCGCGGCGATTGCGAGAGGGAAATGGCCGCATTGATGAGCGCCAGGAGCTGCTCCAATCTGGTGGTGCGGCAGTGATGGCGCCCTCGTGCATTCTCATTCTCTTCTTCTACCTTGAGCTCTCATTCAATGGAACGGGGGTGTTGAAAGATTTGGCTTTTTTGGTTTCTTCTTGGTTCGATCGATTGCTGCCGCTGCCGCGCACCACAAGATTTGCAAGCGAGGATGAAAGGGATGATGGCATTGCCGTGGACGAGGAGACGGCGGCACCAGCGGCTCGTGAGCGAGATCGGTGTCGGCGCTGATTCTTCTCCCGAGGTTTGTAACCAGGCAAAATATTTCGTGGGCTTTGAGAGTTTTCTTGCCAGAATTTCGATGACAAGGAGCTAGAGCTCGTCTCGTGGCTTAAGATACGCGGTGAGCACGACGCATGCTCGTTGCTCAAGACAGGCCCTGATAAAAGGTATAGCTTGAGATTGGTTTGTTTAGTACTTAGCCTTCTCTTGGCCCAGGGGATTGTTTGCCGTGCGAGATATCAAGGCTGGCGAGTGCATTCTCAGAGTTTCTCGCGACACGGTATGATGCTCGTGTGTTTCTTTAATTTTGTGAGCAACAGCGTTTTCGTTCCCAGATGATGACTGCAGATAGATTGCCTCTGGAATTCCAGCAGCTGCTTTCAAGTGGAGTGAGTGAATGGGCGCAGTTAGCTCTTTTGCTTCTTTTCGAGAAACGAGCAGGAGAGGTAGATAAAATCTATGTGAACTTTTTTTACTGACTAGTGTCCTTTCCAGGCTTCCATATGGGCTCCTTACATTTCTTGCTTGCCAAGGTGGGGCACGATCCACAGCACGGTGAGTTCCCACTATATTAATTCTCGGTTTCTCAGATTTTGCGGTGCAGGCGTTTTGGAGAAAAGAAGAGCTCGCAATGATACAGGAGAGTTCTTTGAGCTATGAAACTATGAGCAGAAGAGCAGCAATCAGAGAGGAGTTCAATGAAATGCAGCCGGTTAGTCTGATTTTCCTGCAAGTAGCTTACATATGTGACTGCAGGTACTGTAGATCTTTCAACGGTATGAGCATGTATTTGGAGGTCCTGTGTCGTATGCAAGTTTCAAGCATGCTTATGTAACAGGTGAAATATATCCTATATCATGTCATTTTCCCGTGTTCCTAATCAAGCTACAGTGTGCTCGCGCGCATGGCGCATTGATGGCCTTGAGAAGCTAGCAATGGTAACACCTTGGCCTTTGTATTTAACTTGTCTGAGTCTATGCTCTTACAGGTTCCCTTTGCTGATTTTATGAATCACGACTGGAGCTCGAACGCGATGCTTACATATGACACTGATAATGGCTCTACCGAGGTAGAAGAAGTGAAAGTTTATTCCGACTGTCTCGACATCGCCTTGTTTTGTGCTCAGCTCTTCGCAGATAAAAACTATGCTGCCGGTGAGCAAGTAAGTATCGGCTGGCTTTCCTTTCTAAAGCTGATTGAAGAGTTGGTCAGGTAACCATAAGTTTTGGACCATTATGCAACGCATCCCTTGCACTGGACTTTGGATTTACTGTACCATACAATCCGTGGGACAAGGTTAGCGTTGTTGAGTTTACAGCCTCACTTATTTTGGCTCGTAAACAGGTACAACTATGGCTTGGCATCTCTCGAAGGGACAGCCTTCGGAAAGAAAAATTGCAGTACCTGCATGCTCATGAGATGCTGACATTGACGAACCCTGATGGCTCTGATAGTGGTGGCATGAGCTTCACATTGAGGTAAGGCTTTCAACTTTTAACTTGTCCTGAGTTGAGACTGCTACAGGGAAGTTTGTGACTCAGCAGGTAATGGAAGGGAACTCCCTGGGCCTCTTTTTACAATGGCACGGGTAGTATGTGCTACGTCAAGCGAAGGTACTCAAGCTGTTGTCACAACACTCGTCCTGAATCTGTTAATGTGTCTGCAGCTCTACTCAGCTGTGATAAGAAACAAGATGGACTCAAGGAAACTGACGCTCTTGCGCTAATATTAACTTGCGTGGAGACTCGAATTCAGCAGCATTTTGAGGCTATCCTGGTCTGGTGCTCTTATTGTTTTGCAGTGTAACTGACTTTTAGTGCTTCCTTTCAGGCCTTGCAGAGCTGCAGGTCGCAAGCACCGGCAGAAAGCACCACTTTACTCTGCGTAGAAATGGCTGAGGCTATCCTTGGAGGAGAGCTGAGAGTACTGCGCTCTGTGAGTGCGTGGCTTAAGCACCAGTGCGTTGTGGCATGACGGGAAATTTACTCTCGTTTCTTCATTGCTTGTCCGGGGGACCAGATCTGAGCTATATTAAGGTACAGTGAAGAGCAAAAGCACCAATGTGCTGACGAATATCATTCCTCCTGGACTTAAACTTTGGCTTTGCAGTACACAATGGTGGATTGTAGCTCTGAGCTTACCTATACGCCAATACTACGGTTGTTAAGAATTATTTTGTGGAGGGACTTATTGTTCATGAAATCGTGAATTATTTTGCATCTTGTCAGCTGCCTCCTCAGTGCTTCTTTTTCAGAAACTTTGCGTACCACTTTGCTGATTTCTTTGGGATCCGCTTCAGGCTGTTATCTAGCTCAACATGGATGATCCCAAAGCGCACATTATAACCCGAGCCCCATTCCCAGCTGTCCAGAAAACTCCACAGGAAGTAAGCTTGGACTCTACAGCCATCTCTGCCAACAAAAAGTTGGAAGGTAAGCTTCGCATCTTTTTAGTTCAGAGTCTCACCTTATTGATGCTGCAAGATTTGACAGGTACGTCTTGTAATAGTTAATCCTGGGCTGATCATCCAGCTGTTGAGCCAACGGACTGGAACTGTTGGTAGTATCACTGATCCCTGTGAATGAAGAGAAACAAGCTTGCTTCTACTGCATCAGCTCACCAGGTACGTACCATTTTCAGTGATATAGATTATTGGATTGCGGTACTTATCCTTGATGTAATTCATCAGCCTCCTGATCCCGTACGGTACGACGTAGAAGCCATTGATATTCCTCCCGATCAACACGCCCTTCTTCTTGTCTGCGAGAAGACGAACGAGAGAGCTGGAATGAGAGGAATCCATTTCTAGGCCCACCTAGGAACGCAAAGTCGACGTCCTTGTAGTAAGCCGGGTGGTAGATGGCTTGGCGCTGATTGAGGAGGTTTCCCTGGACAAAGGTACGGTTTGGATTGTCTTTCACGTAGAGGCTGAAGTAGTGATTGATGCCAATGAAATCAGAGGTGCCTTGGAGCCATTTCTTCTCCTCGGCTGTGAATTTTGGCAGCCTGCTTCCAACGTTTGCGACCAACGCTGGTGGATACTCCCCATACGTGACGGGATGAAGCATCCTGGACGCGAACAAAGTAAAGTTTTTTCGTAAAGTTTGTAGAGATCAAGGTTCTTACCATCCGAGATTGAACTGCTGAGCTCTTTCGGCGGCAGCTTTGTCTTGCTTGGAGTTTGAAACAGGTTCGTACCACAATGTGTCAAGCGTGATACCAATCACCCCTTTCTGACTAGCCTGCGATTGTTTTCGTCAAGTTGAGGTAATCTTTAAGACTTTTTAATTTTTCTGGTGTACCTTGTATCTTTTGGTGTAGATCTCGATCGCTTTCGCATGGGCGAGGAGTAAATGGTGGCCTACGACGTATGGCTCCATGGACGAGTCTCCTCCCGTGCAGTTTCCGATCTCGGGCGAGCATCTTCCCGGCGCAAACACGCCAATGTTGTAGCCAATGACTGCGAAGATGTGGGGCTCGTTGAGCGTGATCCAGTTCTTCACTCTGTCCCCGAATGCTTTGAAGCAAGCCTCCACGAAAACTCCAAAGTCGTCCCTGGCGTGTCACGGTATGTTTTGCAAGAGCTCATGGTTGGATTTACTAACTTACACGATCTTGGAGCTCAAGAATCCTCCATAGGATTTCTCCAGAGCATAGGGGAGGTCCCAGTGGAAGAGCGTCACGTATGGCTTCAAGCCTGGATCCGCGAAGCAAGCACTTCAAAATACGTGCAAGCGGTCGTGCCATGCAAACCTTTGGCAAGGAGTGTATCGATGACATCGTTGTAATGACTGATTGCCTTTGGATTAACACTGCCAGTGCCATCTGCAGTACAAGCAAGGAAAACGTGGTAGCTCATCTCGAGCTAGCTAGACAGCAAAACGATCTCATACCGGGAAACATGCGAGGCCAATCAATCGACAGCCTGTACGCATCCGCGCCAAGGCGATCCAGTATCGAGAAGTCCTCCTGCAAGCATTCTCCGACTTTCAGATCGATGGATTCAAGCGATAAGATGACGAGCAGTGAATCAAGCGAAAACTCAACCTTGTAGCGATGATACTGATCAATCGCGGGATCTGCTGTGCTGCCATCTGCGATCTTGCCTGGACCAAGAAAACAACTGTGACTTTTCTCGCGAGGAATTTGGCAGATTGTACCAGGGATCTGTGAAAAAACGTCCCAGTTGCTGGGCTTCCTTCCATCTTCCTTGGTTGCGCCTTCAACCTGGATCAGGCCAGCGCAGCGGCGTTAGTATAGAGCGGAGTGCCGATCTCTCGCCACCTGATAAGAAGCTGATGCAGCGCCAAACACAAATCCCTTTGGAAAGCTGTATCTGCTCAGCACATCTTGCATGTCCTGGGAGGAATCTGCATTGCTGCAAATGCAAAGCCACAGGACCAGAAACAGCACAGCTAGAGGCCTTGGATCCATCGGCTCCTCCAGCCGGCGCGACTCGAGAGATCTATCACGAAGGAGGAGATCCCTCGCCTCTGCCTTTTATATTGCTGGTTGATCTGGCCTTGCATTTTGTCAAACACGCATGATCAGTTTGATCAGTTTAGGCAGAGCTAAGGCGTTATTGTGACAACCTCTTGGCTGTATGTATACGTTGTAAAGCGGGTCCAAGACTGGTACGTCATAGAAATACAGGATAGATACAGGTTGTGTCGTATTTATGTTGTTGAAATGTCTGCTGTCCACACATTGAAGTCCTGGAACTTTGAAGATAAGGTATTTGTGATGCCCTGATCCCTTGTGGTTTCTTTTTCAGTGGTCAGTAATCAAAACTAAAAGCAATGTATGTCTTAATCTTAGATATTTTATTTGTATAGTTTATGCTTTTTAATTTCCTTTCTTTAAGAAATAAATTTAATCAATCTTTTAATTCTGGGAAGATACTGATCACTGAGTGATTCTTGGCTCTTCTCCATAATTTTGTCCTTGCCTACAAAATAAGAAAATATGCTTAACTTTGCAGTAGATTTCTAGATAATGGTTTACAGTAAGTTTGTTTCTCACTCAAAATGATCTTACAATTTCTTCTCCACCTCCAATGGTCCTCTTCTTTCAGCAAGCATTATTACAAATGGTTTATTAGAACCATGTAGCCGCTTTGAGCCACATTCCTCTAATTTAGGGTTGTTAATTTTCTTTGTTATTTTCCCAAGAGATCTTTCTTTCTTCATAAGACTAGGCTAATTCTCTTCACATGATATTAGAGATATAGCTTAAAACTTTTCATGAATAGTGCCTTAAGAGGCAGTTCCCAGGTAGGGCGAGCATGTTCCCGCCCAGAACAGGCAAGCTGGGCGTTAGCTCGGCGAGTGTGTGCTGGAGGGAACGAGCAAGGCCGTGCCCGGGAACAGCCTTAACGGGCTGTGGTGAGACTGTTAACAAACACGTGGAATAACATTATTGGAGGATGAGAGCGTTCTCCAGAATTGGCAATTGGTAACCTGGTTCTCTAGAACTTAGCAGCTGGCAGCTAGGTTCTGGAGAACCTGGCAGTTGTCAGCCACGTTCTCGCAAAGAATGTGACTCAATCCGACAGCTGCCAACAGTTGGATCAAGTTAACGGGTGAGCCACAGCCCATTAAGACATTAGGACATTCATTCTCCAGAGAAATGGAATAATTCTATAGAACAAATTTCTTTGCTTAGAAATACATAGTTCTAGTTTATGAGATAGGGATTTTGGCCCATGGTATCTAGAATGAGAAAGTGCCAATCGAAGGATGGCAACATCAATCAATACAACAAGTGGCACCATGTGATTGATGGCTTAGCCTGCAAATCACATATAATAAGCAAGCAGCATTGCCACACATTCAACTCTGGTGGGAGCATTCTTATGACAAATCCTTTTTAGTGGAGGCACTCGGACTTGTGTGGTCCATTTCAAATCATGACCAATAGAAAGAAGTATTTTATTAGATTCATAAACAATGTTACGAGTTATGTGGTTCTTAGCTACTAAAGGTGAAGCTCTGCCAACATTTAAAGCTTATAAGCATAAAGTGGAGAATCAACTTGATTTACATATTAAAGTGCTCCACTCTAATGGAAAGTTGAGTATATGTCCTTTAATTTTGCTACTTAGAAATTTATTGGCAATTCACAATTCCATACACTCCTAAGCTTAATGTGGGGTAGCCTGTGCATGTGCTGGAACTCCAATAGGGGCTGTGGAGCCGGGCAGCCAAGGTTTAACCTCGACTGCCCTCAACACTCCCATTCCCCACTATCCTTCCAATGCTTGTGGCTTACCATGTCCCAAGGAGACAAGTATATGATGATTGTCATATCAATGATAGTGTCAATGTCAAATATATCATTCCACCATCACTCTATAGCACTTGTGTGTTGCCATTTTTATCTTTTAACATTTTGTAAGCAATTGAAGCAATTGTATGTGAAGTGATAATAGGTCATTAATTCAAGGCATTAAAAGTATTCTCTTGAGCTCATGCATACCATCATTATTATCTCCAAATCCATCAAAACAATCTTTATTGTCTCATCTAGAGACAATATCATCTATATGGTGTATGTACCAATACCAGAAACAACTTATTGTTCACAACTTTGAGTTCAAGAGGGTATAAATCAGCACCACACTATCGATCAATTCATTAGTGCTGAATTCATCCAGTCCTTCTTCGCTTGCATGTGAGTCTTGGGTGGAAGCTTCAACCTGGATCAAATTACTGAGCAAAGCACAATTGTTTCACGGACATAGTTAATGACAAACCAAACAATCAAAAGAATGCTCCAAACCTCTGGCCTGGGCTTGCACCAGTGCTGCTGCTGTTGCTACCGCAACTGGTAAATTTTGTCACCAGCATGTTGCCCAAGAACCTCTCCATCACACCGCTGGGCATGCAGAGCGCCACCTTTCGCTCCCGCCCTCCTTTAGCAGTGGGCAGGACGAAAGCAGTGCCGTCTCCAAACCATACCTCGGGGACAAGCGTGTAGTGAACCTGTTGCCCCCAACCAAAATCGGTTTTGAAGATGGGAAACGTGTGCATGGTGGTGCAGTTCACATCCCTGCCGGCATAGTAGTCCACGTTAAACGCAAACTCAAGGCCTTTCCGGCGCTGGATTTCCATCCAGTCGACAGCTGATTGGATGTATTCGCCACTGATCTTGGCAATGTCGTTGTGGATGAGCTTTGCGGCGAACGAGATGTGGTGGGACTTGATATCGCCGGCCCTGGCCGGGAGGGTCGCCAAGTGGATGGCATTTCCAAAGTAGCTCATCGGGACCGGAGGGTCCTTAAATCGCTTGTTGCCCCTGCAAGACACCGGGTACATGTACCGCGTGGTGGCATCGTTGGGCAGCTCGCGAGCCTCGGTGATGGACTTCCAGATAAGAGCCGAGAGAGCCACGAAGCTGCTGGCCCGGCCGAAGCCAAACGGGCCAGCCTCGACCTCGTGGACGAGCGCGTCCATGCCCGATGAGCTGACGGTGATGGTCTTCTTGCGATAAGTGGAAGCCGCGTCGACGATCTGGTAGCCGAGCTTCTCGGCGGCGACATAGTCCCGCATTGGAATGGTCACCCTTGGTGGGTTGCGGGCTTGGAACAGCTCCGCATGGAACAGCGGTGGGGTGATTGCCAATCCCCGGTGGATCCGCGACCAGGCATGGAAGAATTCGGACACGGAGTAGCCGTCTGCTACAGTCTCACACAACGCACCGCCTAGAGTAATGCCACCACAGCCAAAACGCGTAATCTACATATAAACATCGATCAGAGTAGTTCTTCCTATACTTCACACCTGGATTTGCAGCGTGGGCGAGTTGTCGCAAAACCTGTCCTGGGTGTTGAGTTGCTGCTCGATGGAGCAATCGTCCAAGCTCTGCCAGTCATCAAACCTGGCATCGGTGGAGGCCACCCGGAGCGGAATGCCCGCGTCGTTGCAGTTGACTTTGGGGGGAGCCATCGGTACCAGCTTGAACTCTCCCTGCAAACACAAAGTAGTGAGTGAGGGTGAGCGCTAGGGAGCGCTTGAGCTTGGCAACGGTGGCTTCAAATGGTTGTGGAGCTTGTGGTGGCAAGTAGTAGTGCACGAAACTGGAATAGAACGAGGAGCTTGCTAGGAGATCGACGTTCGAAAGGGATTTCCAGCAGGGCTGTGGAGTTGGAGATGCGGGTGTGACATTGTGAATGCGGATTAGGGAGACGGAGGCCATTGCAGCTCATGGGAAAAACTTGGTCTCGCTTGGAGATTAATAGCATTGAACTTCCCACGAGATGCATGCCGCTCCGTTGGTTACTGTGGTGTATTCACGTAATTCAGGTTTTTAGACTCTCTCAATTTCACGTTACCAACGTTACTGGTTTGTAATCCAGGTTGGAGAGTCAATCTGTGAATGGAAGCAAGGATCAGAAGGTGAATTGAAGCAACAAGTTGACTGGGGAATTTAACTGTTAAGGATACGGAGGAGATCTGCGCGCCATCGCTGGATCACACGAGTTCTAGCAGCAGTACTAGTACTTCCATGGCGGAATCTTCTTCGTGTAGCACTAGCACCACCGCGGCCAATTCTTCTTCTTCCTTGGAAGAGGAGCATCACGTCTAACGAGATCATTCCAGGGAGAAAGAAACAAAATTTTAAAGAGTGTTTGGAATTTGTTTCCCGAAAAAAAAGGTGGCCTTTTTTTTAATAGCTTTGATGTTTTGAGCCAAAGAATCTTGTTAGAGTCAATCGCAAAATCAAATCGCACTATCTTTTGTCGAAAATTCTGTGAATATACCTTTTCGTATATGTTTGTCCTGCCCGTGTACACTTTTCCCTTCGTCGATTAGATTGTATTGTGAAATGGTTAAATTTTGAGATATAAGCATACATTACAGCATAACTTTTGTGAACATTCTAGCCATACAATTGAAAGGTTATTGCATAATTCACTCCTTTAGCCACTTATAGTCAATCAAAATAATTCTTTATATTTTATTTTGCAGCCACATGTCATTACGCGCTATTGAGTGGTTTCTAACAAACACTAATACTGGAGACAATTTTATTCCCGCCGCTAGATTATAGACTATCCAATGGCTACAGATACTCTTTAAAAACATCGCACATATTCCATTTCGTTCTCCAGTCCAGATCCTTTTCTCTTTTTTCTCTCGTTGCTTTTGCCTTTGGATGAATCGGTCGATGATCAATTCCGCTGGGATGGTTGTTGCGAGTGTCTGATCGCCGCCTGCAGAAGCTCTGATCTCGCAGTACCAAATTCGCTCCGGAGTCGTCGTTTCCTTTCCTCGTAGCATTCATTCTCCAACGTCCCAAAAAGGCGGCATTCCTTTGGACGTTTTGCAAGGGCTCTCTCCCTTTTCCACTCCGATCATCATGAAGCTCATCGCAAAGAGCTCGTCGAGTCTCTCCATCTCCAGCTCCAAGGATCGCGTCTCCCCAGGCAAGGAAAAGCAGCAGAAGAGCAACAACAGGAAATCCAAGCAGCCCAGGACGAGGGCGCTCGAGTTCTGCATCATCTCCGCGCAGGATCTCAAGAGCGCCACGAAATTCGGCCGGATGCGCAGCTACGCGGTGGCGTCCATCTATCCCGATCGCAAGGTGAGCACCCGGATCGACTGCGAGGGCGGCACCAATCCCACCTGGGACGCCAAGCTCGTGCTCGAGGTGGACGAGCGCGTGTTGGTGGGCGACGAGGACGACACCCACACGCAGCTCACGATCGACATTTTCAGCCGTGGATCCCTCCGCGACAAGCTGGTGGGGACGGTCAGGATCCTGGTGTGCGACGCCGTGAGGGGGGAGAGGAATATGCGCAGCATCGTGAATAGATTCCCGGTGGCCTCCTATCTCGTCTTCCGGCCCGGGGGGTGCCCGCAGGGGATTCTCAACGTGTGCATCCCCCCCGGCGGGAGATTCCCGGAGAGATTCGACTCCATATCCTTCAAGCGCGGCGAAGATCTTCGCGTCATGGCTTCTTCGCTCAAGCCGGAGGAGATCCTCTCGCCACCGCCGGATCACACGGAGGAGATCGTCGCGCCATCGCCGGATCACACGAGTTCTAGCAGCAGTACTAGCACTTCCATGGCGGAATCTTCTTCGTGTAGCACTAGCACCACCGCGGCCAGTTCTTCTTCTTCCTTGGAAGAGGAGCATCACGTCTAACGGTTAGACGTGATCATTCCAGGATGAAAAAAACAAAAATCAAAGAGAAATAGTCTTGTTTGGAATTCGTTTCCCGAAAAAAATGGCCTTTTTTTTATAGCTTTGCATTACTTATTGCTGTGAGCCAAAGAATCTTGTTAGAGTCAATAGCAAAATCCAAATCAAATCACCCATCCATCCAGCCGCCACAAAGAATTTATTACTGATTTACCACTATCCGAGAGTCCTCCTGGAAGACTTGCTACTATCCCTCCTGGAAATGATACTCGTTCTCCCGATTCTTCTTCGGTTTCTTCGGCCTCGAACTTCTTGAAAGAAGGAACCGCCTCCAGCTGAGTGCCGTGAATGCTCTCCACTCTCTTGAAGCTCAAGAAATCCAGGCGTTTCGGAAACACACCGCCGGGAGCAACGCAGACGTTGAGCATGCCTTGCGAGTCGCCGTCCGGAGTGAAAACCAGGTAGGAGCTGATCGGATACGGCTGGTTGGAAGGCTTGACGGCGTCCACCAGCGAGATTCTCACAGTCCCCACGAGCTTGTCCCGCAGAAACCCCGGGCAGAAGATATCAAACGTGAGCTGCGAGTTGCTATCCTCCTTGAAAGCCGCCTCTTCCACCTCTAAGCTCAGCTTCTCCTGCCATGTCGGCTCCGTTATCCCCTCGAAATCGGTCTCTGTCTTCACTTTCTTGTCCGCGGAGACGTAGGCCACGACGAAGCAGTTCATGTCTTTGCGGACTCTTCTGAGCTCCTGAGCTGAGATCACATAGAACCCGAGCAGCCTAATCTGCGGCTGCTTGTTGCGTCGCCTGATCCTTGGAACTGGCTGAGACTCCCCCATCTTGGAGAAACACGCTGTGAGCTTCTTCGCTAGCATGAACTACTTGAGAAGCCGATTGCTTGCCCTCTACTCTCTACTCTTTTGAAGCCCTTCCTCTTGCTCGACACAGCCGCCGCTGCCAGTAGAACCGAATGAGACGAAGGTATCCTTATGTAGGCCAGTACAGAGACGGGGTCCAATAGGGATTCCACCTGCGTGTCGAGGATTGTAAGCTATTATAAAACGCAACCAAGTAGCGTTAGACACAAACAATACCTCCACGCGACAGTTCATGGAACTTGCGGTGCAATAGTTTTTTTATGATCTGCCACTGTTCGTCCCTGCCGGTCAACAAACGAACGCTTCCCTTCTGGTCTGCGGAGGAAACGAGTCAAAGACAGAAGAAAAACGTGTTGCTTACCTGTTTTCACCGCTTGTTTTGCTGTAACGTTCGGATAATCTCGGGATCCACATCGGCTCCAGCCTCAAGTGCCTCCTCCCAAATCTCCATCGCCTGGTCCATCTTTTCTTCGGCGACAAGCTTTGTCAAGAGTAAGCTGTACATGAATGGTGTCGGAGAGCATCCCCGTGACTTCATCGCCTGGAAAAGCCGGAAGGCTTTGTCATGCTCCGCTGACTTCCAAAATCCATCGAAAACTGAGTTGTAGGTGACCGTGTCTGGCAGGCATCCGTCACTTTCCATGACTTCTAGCAAATGTATTGCTTCGTCCAGCCTGCCAACCTTGCAGAGCTTGTCGACGAGCACATTATACGTAACCACCGTAGGAGCGCAGCCTGTTTGCTTCATCAACTTGTAGAGCTCGTAAGCCTCGTCGTAGGAATCGGACTTGCATAGTCCATCGATCACGCTGGTGTAAACTATAGCGTCTGGCGTCACGCCCCTTTCCAGCATGGTCTTCAGCAGCATGCAGCCGTCCCTCACGCGAGCAGACTTGCAGAGCTTGTCTATGACAATGCTGTACGTTATCACCGTGGGCACGCATCCCTTGTCAAGCATTTCCGAGAAGAACGCCAGTGACTTGTCCAGCTGGTCTGCCTTGCAAAAGCCGTGGATGAGGATGGTGTAAGCCACCACATCTGGAGCACTCCCATTTCTTTCCATCTCCCTGAGTAGCTTCTCGGCATCATCCAGTCTTCTCGACTTGCAAAGTCCGTCAATGAGGGTGCTGCACGTTACGACGTCCAAGAAGTAGCCCCCGTTTCTAAGAACCTCGTACACCTCGTATGCCTCGTCGACTTGGGAAGCTTTGCACAAGCCAGAGACGATCGAGTTGTAAGTCACCACGTCGGGAGGACAGCCTGCTTCGGTCATGCGCTCTAGAAGCTGCCGAGCATCGTCAATCCTGTTTGCCCTGCAGGCCCCGGAGATCATAATGTTGTACGTGTATATATCCGGGAGACAGCCACGATCGGTCATAAGCTGGAAGAGCTCGTAGGCGAGGTCGAGTTGGCCGACTTTGCAGAACATATCGATCATCAAATTGAAAGTGAAGTGGCTCGGTTTACAGTCCCTCCGAAGCATCATCTGTGCCAGATTGAAAGCGTCAATATACTTCCCAGACTTGACGAGGCTGTCCATGAGTGTGTTGTAAGTAATGAAGTTTGGCTCGCAGCCATACTTGACCATCTCTTGCAAGAGCTTGGCACCGTCTTGCGGTCTCTCTTGCTTGCAATACCCGTCGATGAGAATGTTGTACGTAAAAACGTCCGGCGAGCACGAGTTCTCCAGCATCTGGTTGAAGAGCACGACCGCCTCGTCCATGTTGCCGAGCTTGCAAAACCCGTTGATGAGCGTGTTGTAAGTTACGACGTTGGGAGCACAGCCAGCCTCGATCATATCCTCGAGAATGAGCGAGGCATCGCTTATCCTGGCAGACTTACACAAGGCGTCGACGAGAATGGTGTAAGTGATGACGGAGGGAGCGCAGTGGCGTTGCATATCCCTGTAGTGGACGAGCGCACTGTCGACCCTTCCATTGTCACAGAGTCCCTTGATGATCGTGTTATAGACCGCATTGTGTGGAACGATCCCTCTCTTCTCCATCTCATCCAAAAGCCTGTAAGCCTGCTGGAAATCCCGGGCCTTGCAAAACCCATTGATCAAGGTGCTATACGTGATGCTGTCCGGAGAACACAATCCACAAAGGTGATTCTTGAAGAGGTCGTAAGCCTCCTGTGCCTTCTTCTTCCTCACGAACGCGCTGAGGAGGCAATTGCAAGTGAATTTCGAGTGCTTGTATCCTGGCTGCCCCGTGCACCAATCGAAAAACTTGATCGCCTTGTCCAGATCGTCCAGCTGCTGGAGCACCCTTCCCACCACCGATGGCACCAGGTAGCCCCCGAATTCACACAGCCGCCTCCTCGCGAGCTCGAAATCCTCGCTGCTGTCTAAAACCCTAAGGAATTCCTTGGCGGCCTGGGCGTAGAAGATGCCAGACTTGGAGCTGGCACTGGCAGCCGCGAATTTCGAGGTGTGGAGCTTGAGATCGGGCTCCACTTCCCTGGTAGAGTGCCGCGGACTTACCCCGAGAGAGGATGCAAGGCAGAATTTGGGCGGTGGCCTTCCTTTGCTGGTGGATGGAGCGGTGACACCAGCCGGAGCGCCCAGCGCTGTCGCCATAGCGCAGCAGCTCCACCAAGAACCCTAGCTTTTGAGTGGTAAGAATAAATTTGAATTTCTGGATATGCTTTTTTTCGCTCGCTTGGCTCCTCTATTTTCTTTTCTCGGAGAAGAAAACTACGTGTCTCCGGAGCCAAGATAAACTCCCAAGTAGATGAAATGGTCCTCGATACTATTGCCAGACACGGACCTGTGAAGATAGAACAATGAATTGGATCGAGCGTTACAAAATCAAAGAGAAGTTTTTGCCTGCTACAAGTTGGATCTTCGCCAGAGCTGTCACAAACTCGCTCATACTCGAAGGTGAGAATTCCTATCGACAGAGATGTGATCCACACCTGAGAAAACGAGCACCCAGCAGAAGATCCACGAAGCTTTTGGGAAGAACTTGGGAAGTACCTCTCTTGCGAAGTGATGGTAGCTTCGAGCTCCGAGGAAGGAGAGATATGGAGGGAGGTGCGGAACCATATCGTGACCGTGAGTCATTCGTATCGCTCTTGGCAAGTGCTTGCTGAAAAACTTTGCGAAGACAGTGTTGCCGAGGCGTGGCTGTCCAAACGTGACTATCTCTACATCGTCTGTGGAAACTTTGTAATTTACCTGCGTTCTTGGTGAGATCTCTCTAGAAAAAAATGATAGAGACGAGGGACTCACAATGAGATCGAGTGCGCAAAACGAGGCAAGAGCTCCTCCCATGGAGTGGCCCGTCACCATGTACTTCAGCCCCTGCCGCGTTTGCTCTATGTAACTTATAGCTGCCATTATGCTTGCTCGCATACTGGTGTTGTGATAAGCCGAGTAGAAACCATGGTGGACCTTCACAAAGGATTTTCCAGGAGTCAGAGATTCAAACATCCAAGTATATCAAACCCTGGCATCCTTAGTTCCGGGATAGTTTAAATCGAGCTCCTTGAAATACAAATCCTCCATCCAGTTTGCCATGCTACACAACTAGACATTTATTATACGAAAAAGACAGAGAAGATTTTACCTGTTTTCTTGAGTTCCTCGGAAGGCAATCACAATAGCATGTAGACTCTCGGATACACCAACAAATGCCTGAGGAAAAAAGAAAAGAAAAATCTAGAGATGTTTTTAAAACTCTATCTTACTTGCCTGTAGACAATGTCGAACATCCACGACAAGAGCTGTGACATGAAAATCCTGGAGATCCGATCAATCGACTGGAAACACTGTAGAAGCGATAGACTTACCTTTATCACACCGTTGCAACGCGAGCAATTCCACTTCAGCAAGGAGGCTGAATCATCTAGATACACCTTAGAGGAAAGAAGACGAGAAAAAAAAAGTTAAAAAAAGCACTCGAGAAGGATTTCAATCCAAGTGCCTACCGCTGATGCATAGCGGACCATGATCTTTGCGAGCGTCCGATTGTAGTACCGAAAACTCAAGTTATCTCCAACGACAAACTCTGCGAGAAGTAGTTTTTACGAAAGTCACAAAAAAAACTAAAGGTTCTTACCTCGTCCAACAGCAGCGGTGAGGCACGAAAGCAATAGAACCACAGCTAGTTTCATCACACCTTTCTCTCAATCCATCTTCACCCAATGCAATCCGGAACTAAAGAAGAAACCAAAGAAGAATGCAACGAAACTCATCCATTTCTTCTTACTTGGCAAGGAGCAAGCATTTGTCTCAAGACAAATGCTGCCAGTTTGGCACGCGAGCGCCACGCCAAAGCGATGATCCCCCTGCGCAAGACGTGATCCCGGGCATTGCGCAGAATACCTAGAACTCACTGCGATCACTGCGAGCTCTCACGGACCTCGCCGCCGCGGGATCAGAGCCACCCAATCCGCTACCAAACAGCCAACAAAATCCCTAGTTCTTTATAGGAAAAAAGTTAAAAGTAGATTTGCTTAGTAAGAATCTACGACTAATGGGCATTTGGTCTAGTGGTATGATTCTCGCTTCGGGTGCGAGAGGTCGCGAGTTCGATTCTCGCAATGCCCCCCCTGCTTGTCAGCTCGACAAGTAGCATCCACGCGGAAGCACAAGCTCTCTGTAATCAATTCTTTGAGAACATCTGGATCGAATCTTTGTTTGCTTGCTGCAATTGTGGTTTTGTTTCCTTCCCTGCTCCGAATCTCTGTTTGATCGTGCTCGCTGAGATGAGTCTCCGGCTCCTACTGCTCGATTCACCAGCGCCGCGACTGTCCAGCTCAAAGCCTCCGCCTCAAAAACCGCGGTCAAGGTCAGTAGTTCTTCGATCGATTCGTCCCCGGGCCTCTTCGTCCGCGTCATCGGCCGCAGGGGACTTCGATTCCAACGATGCGAGTCCCAAAGAAGCTAAAGACGCAGGCTACAAGTCTCTGCTGGTGGCAATGGGCGTCCCTCTAGCCGCGGGATCACTGGTGGCAGCATTCAACAGGCCGGATGAGTGGTACTTCCAGCTCAAGAAACCGTCGTGGACGCCTCCGGCCCCAGTGATTGGATTTGCGTGGAGCCTCCTCTATCCTCTCATGGGCGCCGCGGCCTGGCTAGTGTGGAGGAACGGGGGATTCGAAGAACAGCGATCGGCGCTCACGATCTTTGGCGTTCAGCTGGGGTTCAATCTCCTGTGGCAAGTCGCATTCTTTGGGCTGCGCAATCCGGCGCTTGCGTTCCTGGACATATCCATCTTGGTTCTGCTCGTGGGCATTTGCGTTTGGGCATTTGGGAAATCCAGTGCCGCAGCTGCAAACGCGATGAAGGTGTATCTCCTGTGGGTGGTCTTTGCTGCTGCTCTCAACTACAAAATCTGTGCACTCAATCCATAAAAGATCACATCTCTCTCTCTCTCTCTCTCTCATCATATTTTCCTCGAGTAAACTTGGTGATCTTGAAAGAACTTAAAACAGATGGATCACATCCCCTTCTCTCATCCAAAACTAGAAAAATTAATCAAGATCACATTTGCCAACACTGGTGATATTGAAAGTACTCAAAACAGATCCCCCTCTCTCATCCAAAACTAGAAAAATCAATCCTGGGTGATCTTGAAAGAACTTGAAAGAGAATCCAAAACCAAACAAGATCACATTTGCCTCAGTATTGGAACACTGGAGTAACTTGGGTGCTCTCTTGGCCAAAACTAACACTGGAGTAACTTGGGTGCTCTCTTGGCCAAAACTAGAAAGAACAAAGATCACAGTTCCAATGAGTCTTGGCCAAAACTAGAAAGAACAAAGATCACAGTTGCCTCATTGGAACTCTGGAGATCTTGAAAGACAAGGAGGCAACCAGATTTGAACTAGTGACCCATTGAACTGCAGCCAATTGCTCTACCAGTGAGCTATACCTCCATCTCAAACAAACAAACAACTAACATAGATCTTGCAGGAACTTTTCTGCGTTAAAACAAAAGTGGACTAGGCACGTATTTCTCTTTGGATTCAATGACCCACATTGTCTCTTTTCGTCAAACAAGATCATGAGCGCCTGTGGAAAACAAACAAACCAGCATTCATTCATGAGCACATGCCTAGTGTGAGCGAGCTAGTAGCAGTCAACCAAAGCGCGTCCATACTTCTCATATAGGGTTTATGGATCCTCTGGCTTGACGAAGAAGATGATCATGGAGAACACAAGCACGGTGAGAGGCTTACTGCTAGTGCTCTTAGTATGGAAATGCTCGACAGTGGCACAGAGCCAAGCGACTCAGCCATGGCCTTCGTACAGATCGAGCTATAGCCGAATCCACGAAGCCCAGAAGCAATGTCCATTCTCTTCGTCCTTGGTCTCCTCGCAGCAGCAGGGCGGGGACGATGATCAGGGCCCGGATCCCAAATGGGTCATCCAGAACGAGCTCAGCTTCCAGAATGGCGACTGGTTCCAGGAACCCAAGGCCAGATCCTCGCCGGTGCCTCGCTTCACTGTCAATGGGACTCGCCCGCAGCTGCTTTCTTCGTTCTGGATCACGGATGTCAATCTCCGGAGCAAGGCGGGCGCGGTCAAGATCAGCGCCGTTTTGCAGCTCGCCATCTCGGCCTTCCGCAGCATCGGCTACTTCACGACCGCGTCCGAGAGCTCCGAGTCGTCACCGGAGTTTGCATCGCTCACAGTGCTCCTCGAGGGTGTTTACTTTGAGACCCAGCGCAACGATCGCGGTGTTTGCATGGTGGGATGCACGGTTTTCAACGGGACAAGGATCTGCGATCTCTTCCTGGAGCTCCACTTTCCCCGGAGGCTTTCGCTCGAATCCAGGGAAGTCCGCGGCTCCTTGACAAGCAAATCTGGGATCTTTGACGACGTAGCCATCGCATCGCAGCTCGGAGCGTACTCCAAGTACGAGTTCGACGACGGGAGACTCATCAAGCCCGCGTGTAATCCATCCATGCAGCAGATGCCGCCGGAGGGCATTACAGTCTACACTGGAAATCGAGGCTGCTCGATACTGATGGAAATCCTTTCTGGTCAGTGGATCCATCTCTCAAGCTCGGGGCCGTTTGCTCTCAACGCTACGAGGATGCAAGTGTTGGACATCCGCTGCATCGATATCCCGTCTGGAGCGAATGTGAGCGCCATCTTTCGAGCAACTCCCAGCGTTGACGACGAGAGCCTCTCGCTGGAACGCAAAGGACTGAGTGATGGGCTGGCCTTTGCTGCCGAGGGAGTCTACAGTGCTTTCACTGGCGAGATCTGCATGCTCGGCTGCCGGAACAAAGATCGAAGCTCGCCATCGCCAAGCTGCGACGTCCGCGTGTCGATGTTCGTGCCACTCTCGCTCTCCATCGCGCAGAGGGACGTCTTGTTTGGGAAGATGACGAGCTTGGGTGGCGAAAGTGCGTATCGTCCTACGAACTTTGGTCTCTTCGTACCCTTGAGAGGCCTGCCATCGGAAGTGTCAAAGAAGTTGAGCTACAGCTACTCGAGAGCTCGGGAAGGAGAGAAGCTTGCAAGAAGTGAGGAGATGGAGACGAGCCTGGCCGATCGAGTGAAGCAATCGATGCTCAAGTTCCCAAGGCCGAGCAAGGAGCACTCGATGCAGGAGCTGGGGCAGGATTTGGCGGTGTTTTCTCAGCTCATCAACGAGAATCCAGCCAATCCAAGCGGCAGCATCCAGTTTTCAACAAGAACTATGGACATCCAAGCTTCATCAAAAACTATAGATATCCAAGTTCTCTCGATCGAAGACATCATTCTCATGGACTGGAACAGCCATCAGAGCGATGACTCCTCGAAAGAACTTGGCGATGACGAGAAAGATCTATCCAAAGGTGACGAGGAAACGATCCGAGTTGCGGTGGAGGTGATAGTGACGAACGTCGCTCAGGTATCCGCCGAGGGTGTCTACGTTCCTCGCACGGGACGGATCCATCTTGTTGGCTGCCTCAATAACATCTCTGGAAGTGATGTTCTTATGGACTCCCAGCCCGATTGCAACACGACCATCGTGATCCAGTACCCTCCTCGCAACACGCAGTGGCTCGTCAATCCCACGCTGCGCATCAAGATTGCCAGTTCTCGCGCGAGTTCCGACCCGAGCTTTTTCCCTCCGATGCATCTCGAGTCGTTTCCAATCCTCTACAGGGACCAGCTCCGCGAGATTCTCTCCAGGAAGACGCTGGAGGCCGTGCTAAGCGCGATCACCTTGAGCGTCATGCTCATTTGCATCGTCCTCCAGCTGATTCACGTCAAGAAATCCGCCGACTCGGTGCCTTTCATCTCGCTACTGATGCTCGGCGTCCAGGCATTCGGCTACTCGATCCCGCTCATCACAGGAGCCGAGGCACTGTTCGCCAGGCTCACCTCCCGTGACGATCCGGCCGCCGAGGCCGGACAATCCTCCGCGATCAAAGACACTGGGATCAACCAGATGGTGCTCTACTTGGTCAAGCTCCTCTCTCTCGCCGCCTTCCTTCTCATGCTCCGGCTGTGCCAAAAGGTGGTGCGCTACCGCATCCGGCTCGCCACCAAGTTCCCGCTCGAGCCACGCCGTGTTCCCAGCGACGTGAAACCGGCCAAGATCTTCCTGCTCGTCCACACTCTCGGCTTCCTCACGGTGCTCGCCTTCCACTACGCTCTCCAGGGCTCCTCGAGGAGCAGTGAGATGATGCGCAAGGATTCCCAGGTAGGATGGGACGGCAAGATCCAGAAGCCAGAGCAGGATTGGATGCGGGAGCTCAAGGAGTACGGGGGGCTTGTGGAGGATTTGTTCTTGCTCCCGCAAGTGATTGCAACCTCGGTGTGGGAGATCAGAGGGAAGCCACTGGCACGAGCTTACTACATGGGCATGACGGCGTTGCGATTGCTCCCCCACGTCTACAACGCTCTGACGAGGCCGCTCTTCAATCCATACTTTGCGGACGAGTCGCTGGTTTACGCAAACCCGAGGATGGATTTCTACTCGCGGGTCGGGGATGTGGTCATCCCCGTCATGGCGGTGCTGCTCGCGGCGATGGTGTACGCTCAGCAGAGATGGAATGAGCTCAAGTGGGGCAGAGTTTTGAGGCAAGGATCAAGCAAGCTCTTGCGATATGGATCCAAGTTGTATGAGAGGCTACCGTCGTCAAAGCTGCCCAGCACTGGGGCGAATTTTGAGGCCGAGATGATGCCAGGCAATGGCAACGTGGACGGGGACGAAGATCGACGAACCCTAATGGATGCTGAGAAAGGTGGCAACCATTAAAGGTTGACCAAGGTTATACCTTTAATATTTTGGCAGATTCGTCTGAAAGCTAAAATCTTAGTCTGTGCTTAGGATTGATACTCCAGGCTGGTAAGGTGCTGTTTAGTGCTAATGCTCGTCTTGTGGATTTGCTCAATGGGAAACAGCCAAGAAGAGCGCTATAAATCGAGCTACGATGAAGCCCAAATGAGGTGCCCATTCTCCTCGCCATTCTCACAGCAACAGGGCGGAGATGAAGATGGATCAGATCTCAAGAAGGTTATCCAGGACGAGCTCAGCGTCCAAATGGGCGACTGGTTCCAGGAGCCCAATGCGAAATCCTCGCTGCTTCCTGGTTTGACTGCGAATGCGCCTCCTTCTGGATCACGCGCGTCAGTCTCCGGAGCAAGACAGACATTGTCAAGATCAGCGCGGTTTTGCAGCTCGCGATCTCTGTCGAAAGGATCATCAGCTACTTCACGAGTGCATCCGAGAGCTTCGAATCGTCCCCGGATTTCTCATCACTGATGGTGCTCCTGGAAGGGATCTACTTTGAGACACAGCAGAACGACCGCGGTGTTTACATGGTCGGATGTACGGTTCTCATCAACGGGGCAAGGATCTGCGATCTCTACCTGGAGCTCCATTTCCCTCGGAGGTTTTCGCTCAAATCTAGGGAAGTCAACGGCTTTCTGACCAGCAAATCTGGGGCGTTTGACACTGTAGTGCTTGCGTTTCAGCTCGGTGGGGACACCAAGTACGAGTTTGACAATGGAAATCTCGTCAAGCCGGCATGCGATGCATCCATGGCCATGCAGCAGATGCCCCCACAGGGCATCCGGGTTTACAGAAAATCAGGTTGCGTGGAACTGGTGGGCATCTTCCAATATGAGTGGAGCCAGCTCTCAAGCTCAGGCCCGTTTTTCCTCGATGCCACTGCCATTCAAATCATGGGCATGCGCTGCATAGACACCCCGTCGGGAGCAAATGTGAGCGCCACCTTTCGAGCAGTTTCGATGAAACTTGACAACCCTGATCTCTCCCGAGCTCGGACGGGACTGGGGAATGCATTCGTCTTTGATGCTGAAGGAGTGTACAAATCTTCTACTGGCGAGATTTGCATGCTTGGCTGCCGGAACAGAGACCCTAGCTCTCCATCACTCAGCTGCGATGTCCGAGTGTCGATTTTCGTGGCACTCTCTCTCTCCATCAGCCAGAGATACATCTTCTTTGGAAAACTGATGAGCTTTGGTGGGGGTAATTTGTTTCGCCCCACAAAGTTTGTTCGCGTCGCACAGTTGGGCAGGCTGCCATCAAAGATTCCCAAGTTGATGAGCTATACGTACTCGAGAGCTCGAGAAGGAGAAGAGATGGCGAGATTGGAGATAAGTCTGTTGGATCAGGTGAAAAGCCGAGCAGAACGTACTCAATCCAACAGCTGGGACAGGACTTGTCCTTCTCTTCACTGATCATCCAGAAGAACAGCAGCAGAAGCAGTATCCAAGCTTCTCCAAAGTTTTTGGACATCCAGGTTCTTGCCATTGAAGACGATCTCACCTATTATTCTGGCGAAGTCTCCAGCAAAGAGTTTGATCTTCGAGACGCGAGAACTCTGCGAGTTGCTGTGGAGCTCACACTGACCGATGTTGCTCAGGCATCAGCCGAAGGAGTTTACGTTCCTGGTTGGCTGCCTCAAGAGAAAAAACTCTCGCAAACGGTGTGATCGATATCGATTCCCAGCCTGATTGTAGCGTGAGCGTCGTGATCCAGTACCCTCCTTACAACACGCAGTGGCTCGTCAGTCCGACTGTCCGCGCCAAGATCACCAGCACTAGCCCGAGTTCCGACCCGAGCTTCTTTACTCCAATCCATGCTGAGACGTTTCCAATGCCCTACGTATACCAATACCGGCAACTGGAGCTCCCATCGGTTCTGTCCAAGAAGACGCTTGAAGCCGTCTTGAGCGCCATCACCCTCAGCCTGTTGCTGCTTTGCATCATCTTGCAGCTGATCCACGTCAGGAAATCCGGATCCGCCGAGGCCGTGCCTTTCATCTCGCTGGTGATGCTCGGCTTCAGGCGTTTGGATACTCGATCCCGCTCATCACCGGAGGTGAGGCCTTGTTTGTAAGACACACTAGCCGTAAACCGCGATTCTCGACGATCAACGAGCAAGCCACGGAGGTTACCCAGAAGGTACTCTACCTCGTCAAGTTCCTCTCGCTCGCGGCGTTCCTTCTCGTGCTCTGGCTGTTCTTCAAGGTGGTGCGCTACCGCACCCGACTCGCCAAGTTCCCACGCGATCGCAATCGACGCCGCGTTCCCAGCGACGTGAGAACCGCCAAGATCTTTGTGCTCGTCCATTCTTTCGGCCTTCTCACGGTCCTCGCCTTCCAGAGCTTGTCGACGAGCAGCAGTGAGATGCTAGTGGCATTGGACGGGACACTCTACAAACCCAAGATGAACTCAAAGAGTATCCTGGGTTCGTGGGGGATTTGTTCCTGCTGCCACAAGTGATCGCAGTTTCCGGGTGGGATCAGATCAAGGCAAACCCACTGGCACTAGTTTACTACATGGGAATGACGGCGTTGCGCTTGCTTCCTCACGTCTACAACGCGATCACTATTCCACTGCCCGATGCATATGAGTTTCTGGTGTTTACAAAGCCGAGGACTGGGGACTGGCTAATTTCTGCGATGGCTTTGCTCCTGGCGGCGACGGTCTATGCACAGCAGCAGTGGTAGGGGAATGGATCTTACGAGACGCTGCTATCGACAGAGAGAGGCTGAAATGCCCAGCTTACAGTCAAAAAGCGTCAACAGTAACCAAATTTTCATTAAAGATGAGTCAAAACTAGTCAAATAGTCAACACAATTTAATTAAGATAACAAAATTTAACATATGGCTTCGTCCAGGTTTGAACTGGAGACCTTCAGTGTGTTAGACTGACGTGATGACCAACTACACCACGAAACCACTTGTGGAATAAACCCGCTAATTGTTTCTACATATTGGATAGAGAAGAACTGTGGATAAAGATCTTCGAGGTGGAACACGCGCCACGATCCTCTGTTCTAGGGTTTAGGGCGAAAGAGGAATGCCATGGCGCTGACAGCTCTTTCCTCGGCGCATCTCCTGTCGGTAAGCGAGAAATGCGAGAGGAAATGCGCGTGAGAGCTTGTGGTGTCCATCCAGATTGGCTCGACTTCGCGCTCGGGACTGCTCCGGAGGGACGGCATTGACGATTCTTTCGATGGACATTGCGCGCTTTCCCAGACGGCGATCAGAAGAGCGAGGTTCTTTTCAGAATGTGTTCGTATTTCGATGCTCTCATAGCCGATTGCATTGGATTCCAGGCAGAGCTTTGGAGAGGCCGATAGAAAGCCAAGGGATGTGAGAATTCGAGCTCAAGCATTGTCGGATGCAGCACAAAAATCGGAATATGTGAGTAGTAGAAGATTTCCTCCTTGCTCGATCTTATATTTCTTCCTTCCAGCGTAATATCGCGCAAATCAATGAAGCTATTAGGAAGGCTGAGTCAGTGCCAGGAGCGCTTAAGATCCTGGAAGAAACCAAGGCCGCCGGAGTGCACACTCCAAATGAAGGTACACACTTTTATTGTCCGAGCTGAAGATTAATTTTTTTTTTCCGGGTGGCAGCAACATATGCATCGCTCATGCTAGCTTGTAGAAAGCTTGGCCAAGGAGAACGCGCACTTACCATCTACGAGGTACTTACTGTTCCTTGTGACTCACAAATATGAAGAAAATTATTTCAGGCCATGAAGCAGACCAAGGAACCAATAAGTATTCGAACTTACAACACTCTGATCTCTTGCTGCCAACAAGCTCTTCGTATGGATGATGCGTTCCGGGTGAAGGTAGATATCCGTTGGTTGCAGTTCATGCGTAAAGTATTGATCTGATATTTCAGAAAGAGCTCGAAGAAGCGGGAGTGAAACCGGATGTGGTGACGTACACTAGCCTTATTGACACTGTCATAAGGTCCACCCGCATTCCCCCAGCTCAAAGGTAGTCTTCTATGCTTCTGGCGCTGGCAGATTTTGTGACAAAAGCATTGTAGAAACTTGCAGGCTCGAGAAAGCTTTACAGCTATACAAGGAAATGCAAACTCTTTCCATAACGCCTGACAGCAAAACCTACAATACCCTTATACAAGCTGCTGGGGAGGCAAAGGCGACAGAAAAAGCACTTGTAAGATATTTGCGGTTGATTTTTTGGTTTGAGCGCTTGCGTATTTCTTTGTGCAGGAATTGTATCAGTCGCTTACGAAGGTTGGTCTTTCGGCCAATTCGTTCACATTCGATCTTCTGTTGAAGTGCCTCGGAAGTGGTGGAAGGCTCAAGGTAGCTTTACAAGTTTACAACGAAGCCCGAGCAGCAGGAATTACACTTTATACGAGTACCTACAACTTTTTGATTGGAGCCTGCGCAACAGCTCCGCAGCCTAATGTAAGCCTTTTGCTGCGAGAGAACTTTAACGCTGGTTAACAAACTGCTTGCGCAGGCTGAGAGAGCATGGGCCTTCTACGAGGAAATGAAGAGCAAGAATCTGAAGGTCAATGCATTAACATTTATCAACCTTATCAGCGCTTCTAGCAAGGTAATTCCTATGGGAGCTTTGTTTTTCTGTTGTATGATTATACGATTTTGTGCAGGCTGCGGACAATGCAGGCGTCATGAAAGCTTTTCAGTTGATGAAAGAGCTTGATTATACAAAATCTATCACAACTACAACATACAATCAAATTCTCGAGTCTGCAAGTATAGCAAACACCTTAGAAGATGCTCTAAAGATCTACTACGAGATGAAGAAAGCTGGGTACAAGCCAAATGTTTCTACCTACAGCAGTTTAATTTCGGCTTGCATTCGCAACAAAGACTTCAAGCAAGCTCAAACGTTGGAAGAAGAGGAGTTTAAGAACGTCGACGTGTCGCTAAATCAGTCCGTCTTACACAGCCTGATCAGAGCCTACGGCGATGCTGACAAATGGGAAGATTCAGTGAGAATTTTTCGAGATATGATAAAAAAGGTAATGACGTTATCCTTTTGCTTCTTTTTTTTTGTATTTGACAGTAATTTTAATTTTTTTTCAGGGAATGCCACTGACTGAGGAATCGTTTGCAAGTGTATTTGAGGCTTGCTTTGGGCGCGAACAAATCACTGCGATGGTAGCATCAGAAAACAAAAAGTTCGGCATTACGCCACGTACGTTCTTTCTGTCTTCTCGTGAAAATTTCGCTTCTCTACTCTTTGGCTGCAGGAATCGAAGCTGGAATACAGTTGTACGAAGAGTTTGCTTTGAAGAAGCAGTTCACGAACTTTAGCAGCACAAATCTATCCAGGTAGAGACGATATCTTGTTTCACTACATCCCCTGACTTGCTGTTTAGGTGTGACGTGAAAACAATGAGCCTCCCAGGAACCATCTTTGCGGTACTCGCCTGGTTGAAAGCCGTCCGAGCGAATCCACCCGCCGCAGATTTAATTGTTGTGACGGGAACCATCAACGAGGTAAAACATCACCAGCTCTTTGTCATGAGAAACATACTTTTTCTGCAGCTCGATAACACCCCTGGGAAGCCGAAGTATCCAAAGCGCCACACGCTTGCCATGAGAACTATGCGTGCGCTACGATTGCCAGTGATGCGTCTCAACACGCTTGCTATGCTGACACTCACAACAAACAACGACGCCGTGCAAAGATGGGTGAGAAATGCCGATCCATTCTCAGCGACAGAAGGGGCAGCAGCGGTGGAAGAAGATGATCCAGCAAATGGTTCGGAAGAAGCCGAGGAGGAAGGAAAGATTACTCAAGAAACTGTGGGAGAAGGAGAAGCGAATGAAGAAACTACGCCAACAACAACAAATGGTGAAGCTGAGAGTGATGTCGCTGATGATGGAGCAGTGATCATAGTCGAGGCATAGGTTCTTTCGTTTCTCTTTTTTTTTTGTTCACACAGGGTGCTCGCAGCGCCCGAATCAAAATTGAAGTGGTGTTCTCGTGATTTTGCGGCCTAATCGCCAACGGCCTTTCAGCTGAAGTTATTGGAGCTCGTAGAAGAGTAGCGTCGCTCTCGCCTCTAGCACTTCTTCCTCCGAGACTTTGACGACATCAGCATCGGATATCGCAAACCACATGGTCTCTTCTCGCGCGATTTTCACATCGCCCTGTTTCATCTCCTCCCCCGCTTCACATTTTTCCGGAGTGGTGTCTGTGAAGTTCGATCGTTGCCCGTCCAGCATCTCGATTTGATGGCGAGGAACCTTCACCTTGCGGTAGACGGTGTAGTGACCAGACATTGGGCTGCCCTGGTGAACCACGACAGAGATGAGATCATATAGCCTCTTCACGCCTTTATGTCGTTCTGTAAGAATCTATCGCTTTTAGAACTCAAAAAAAAAAAAGAAAGAAAGTATAACTCGAACCTTCAGTTTTGGAGGCCACAACTGGATTTGGATCGTGGCTATCCACTTCGTTCTTTGCCTTTGTGCTGGCCACCTCGTCATGCTTCTACGAAACAAGCGTGTCAGTAAAGAAAATCACCACCACAACCAAAATCACTCACGTCTTCCACAATCTGATTGCAGGGACTGGCTTGTCCCAGCTCCCCGGCTCCTCCGATACACCTGGCGTTGGCGTCGAAGTCGCCGTGAATGGACTTCAGACCTGTGGAACCCAGTGCTCTTAAAACGGGTAGCATTGCCGTTTTAAACACTCTTGGATCGATCTCAGCGCTATCTTTCCTCGTCGGAGTTTGTTTCGAAGCGATCGTAAAAGGCGACAAGTCCAGCGTCGTAGAAAACGAGATATGGTCCTACACACAGAGTCGAATAAGAGAGCTGCTGCGTGCACAGAGATAAGTTACCAAAAGCTTCTCAAGATGGCCAGAAGCATTTACAATGACTCGTTGCAGATGCAAACACAAAACCTGCAACAAGGTCCTTTTTAGTTCAAACCTTCATACAAACATCTTTAGTACCTCGGGACAACGACCGAATTGTAAGCTCTTGTATGCATCGCCTTGTATTTTAATCCACAGTCCGTCTCGTTCCTTGACAAGCGTCTCACAGACGCAGTCGTCATAATCGCAGCTATCAAGCGTCTTCAAAAGGTCCTGATGAAAGCAGAAAACATCACAGAAGAACCTGTTGGTTCCTATCCAACACCATACCAAGCATTAAAAATGTGAGCTGCAGGCACCTTGTTGTCTTCTGGCCTCCGAGATAAGAAGCAGGCAGCAGCAAGATGAGCACACCGACTGCATTTGAAATTCGAAACCCGCTCTAGCATGGTGAACTGGTCAAGACAATCTTCTATGGTACATGCTTTCCTCTGTGGACGAAAACAAAAGCATGAGCTTGAAATCTAAATTGCGGGAATGACTCACAATATATCCGCCTACAGACTGCGGAAGAGCAAGAGAAACGTCTGTGAAAAAATGAAACTGCATAGAACCCTGAAAGGTCATGGACAAAGTATCAGTAAAAGTAAAACACGTAGGAAAGCTCACGATCACCTGGAAACCGCATTGTGAACATATGATGGAGCTTCCGTATGTGCCTTCCATGGGCCATCGAAGTTGCTGGCGCCAGTAGTTCAAGGCAAGCTTGCTCTGAAAATCATCAGTATGGATAAGGCTTTCCATCTGCCTTGACAACGCAGAAACATCTGCCAGGGACTGCAAAGTCGGCCTATACTCCTCAAAATCTTCCATTCGCTCGTGTTGAAGGGCTGCTGCAAGATATGACAATGCCTCCGCAGCGTCCTGAGAAAAACCTTTAAAGTCACAACCATTCGAAAAGAAAAGAGAAAAAGGAGATCAAATACCTGTTGCATGCCAAGATCAAAGCTCCGAGCGTAATGCCCGAGTACACGCATGACCTGACGAGGACTGACTATGCGGTGTCCGGGTGCCACTTCCCCAAGTTCTAGAACAAACATGTTCTCTTTTCTATAAACATCCAAAACTCTTTCTGCGTACCTTCTAGCAATTCGCAAAGAGCAGATGAGAGAGGCATGGAAGGCTCCCGCTCATCACCCTCCAGGTTTTCATACGCTCTCAAATACGCAGCAAACTTCTGGGAGCTAGCAAGGGCCTGTAAGAAAAACGTGAACAATCCATCCATTTCTGGACAAAAGAAAGAAAATTCTCATCACCTGGAGGATCGCGTTCAAGAAGCAATTGTTCCCGGAATTTTGCAGCCCTGGGACCGTGAGCTCCCGCTGGTGAGCGCCATGGCTGCCCCGGATCCATTGCGGCAAAGCCCTCACCAACATCAGTGCGCCCATCAATCCGCCCCCTACAAGCGTGGCCAGTGCCGCGATTCCCCTGCGACCTTCCAGGGAGCTCAGGCAGCGCCATGGGATCGACTGGAGCGCCCGCAGCCGCGCTAAAACATCCAAAATCTCCGCTTCGGACCGTCCCATCACCAATAAACCCTAATTTCGATCTCCTTAAATATTACCTAGTAATTATTTTGATATTGTACCTTTTTGGTTTGACTTGTAAGAAATATACCAAGAATATCTCTAAATATTCTGGGATATGACAAATTCCCTCAATCATTAAGTGCTCAACTCCAGTGGTTGATACAAATGGTTTTAATCCATCCACTCTCCTAGTGGATCATTGGCTTTTAGAAACCAGAGAAATACAGATTGAAACACAGGTTCTTTCCTTGCTCTTTGATTTTTATGTGCCTTGTGTTTTAACTCTTTTTTTAGATATAAACATTTAGAGATCCCTTCTAGAATACCATTGGTTCACCTCATCAGAGTGCAGAGCTTCATTGTGGTGCCAGTAGTGTTTGTGAATGTGGATATGTGCATGGGATTGCAAGCAATCACATTTAAAGTTCTTTCCAAGCAACCACAGGTACATATCTTTTTTCCTTTGTTGTTATTAGCACCTCCATAGAATTTGTCAAGCAATATATCAACACTCTTGTAAATGGGATTTTTAATAGCATTGTCTACACTCACTAGAATTTGAGTTCTTTCCCATTGTCATCAATGATTATCTGTTGATTTAAAGTTGGCCTTGGATGCACATTTCACATTGACAAACAGCTAGAATATACAGGCTAGTAGATCTTTTAGTCCTTTCTTTCTAGTTCCTTTTCTTAAAGCTGAGAAACTTAATTGAATTACAGTAAACCAAGCTCATCCAAGAGTTTTTTTCCTGAGTTGCAATGCTAAAGCCAAAGTTTTGCAAGTTTAGCTTCAAATGACACACTTAAATCAATGTTGTAACTTCAATTAGCTCATGACATATTCATTGATTTCATAAGTGTAACTATAATTTGAGGAAATCCAAAGGTAACTAATGTTTGGTGTTTAGGATTTCTTTTTTTGCATTGGATGGAAAATAAGCTCACTTTGTAGACAAACTACATATAAACTTGGGAGTATCAATTATTTGTAGGCACTAGCAAGTATTTAAAAATATAAAATCCATAAAAAATAAATAACAATTTTACAAAGTGATTTGCAAGATATAAAATACAGATTCGAAGGATTTTTGGCTGATATAATGTAAGCTCCAACAGACAGATGTTTAAAAGCTTTAGCAAGATTTATATGTGGGACAGAGTGGAAGAGCATATTGTGCAAGGAAAGGATGTGATAGCGGAATGCTCAAAGAAAGATTGGCATAACAAGCTTGTGAAATTGAGGAAAAACCGACAGTGGCATGTGTGGAGGTCTACTAGAATCACCACACTGATAAAAGCTGTGATCTAAATCTCTGTGACATGGAGAAAGTTAACTGTAATTATCTAGATGAAGGCATTAGTTAACCAAAAATTCGTTTCACAACGTCCACTGGCAGAGCATAGACCGCATCTATCCGCTTCAATCCGGGGTAGTCCAAGAGCGATAACCCTGGACAAAACGGGTAAGAATCAATCGCAAAGCGAGAGAATTGTCAGCTTACCAGCAACTCCAAAGAAGGTGTGAAAAACATCCACTGCGTCGTTTGGCCTGTCCGAAATGCCGCCTTCTTCAGTGTCCTACACAAGGCTCACAAATATGTTAAGAGATGAAACGCCTCTACAGTGAGTGTACCTGGCAGTCGAGAATGAAAGTTTTGAGCTTTTCCTTGTCGATCCAGTCCACACGGTCGAGCGTCACTAGACTTGAAAGCACCCACCACGAGTAGCAGACCTTTGACACGATTCGCCATTTTAGAGAGGACCAAAGAGATACGACTTACGTCGGGTTGTTTCTCGGGCCTGCCATTGAGACCACCGGATTTAACTTGGCGCTCGCAAAGCCACCAGCCGAGTAAATCCTTGTCAATGTGATGAAGCGCACCGGCAATAGCGAGCGCGCTAACGCAGCAAAAAACTGTATAGTCGCGGAAAACATTAGCTAAGCCAAGAGCTTTCGAAAAAAGTTTTCAGGCTTACTCTGTCCGGCGTGAGATTCCCCTCCGGGAATGCTACCAAAACCACCGTCGAAGTTCTTACAGCTCGCAATGTAGTCGACTGCTTTCTCGACGTTGATCACGTCCAAGCGCTTGAGAAGAGAAAGGCAGCACAACGCGATATACGAGAATCTGGCACAAACAAAAAATAGAGAAGAAAAACACGGTGATATGAGAAAACCAAAAGCTTTTCTACTCAACCTCGTATCGATTTCCCCCCACTGGTCTCCAGCAAAAGATCCATCCTCCTGCTGAAGGCTCGCAATATCTTTCCTGGACGTTAAGAACATTGTTCAAGGAGAAAACAAGTCTGAAGAAAGAAAACTTTGGACAAAAAGGATACAGGAAGCTACTTTGTCCGAGTCCAAGAGCTCCATTCTATCGTAAATAGCTAGAATCTGGACGGCGCTTAGAGTATAGAGAATGTGAGGATCATGGCCTATGTTTCCACTGAAACCACCTGAAATCAAAGAAAGAAAGAAAATCCAGCTTAGATCCCAGAGCAGAGCAAGAGAAAGAGGATTTCTCACCGCAATCGTGCTTGCATTGTAAGAGCCAGCTTATGACTTTAGCATCGTCGACGTCTTCCCTACATTCCATCAAATCCAGGGCGGTCAATCCCCAATACGCTCCGTTCATCCGGAGGTGCTCCATCACCATTGAATCGAAATCCTTCTTCTGCGCGATCGAGGAGAGATCTATTCTATCTTTTGCGAGATTTCTTTCATACCTTCTCCAACGACTTGATGAATTCCACATGCTTGTCCACTCGCAGCTCCATCGCCTGTAAACCCTAAGTAGAAAAACTTGCATTTGTTGTTTACTTTAAACGTAGGAAAGAATATTCAAGAAGTACAAATCAGCATATTCTACAAAGCTTGTGTGCTTTGGCTTTGCAAAGTTTTATAGCTGCTACTCTTCTTCTTCGGCTTCTTCGAGCCACTGCACGAAAGGCTCCAAGCTCTTGGCAAAGATTTGCCTGCAATAAAAATCAAAGCTGTGAATCATCCATCCAATTCAAACGAACGATATCTGACGAGAAAGAAGGAACAATGCAACTGAGAGAATGCAAAATGAGCTCGTATGAAACGCTAAAGCTGCAAAAAAGTGAAACATTGGCACGTACCGGCCCTTCGGATTCGCTCCCTTGCGGAACCATGTCAAAATGGTATCCTCGGCCAGCACGTCCTGGTCGTAGAGAGCGCGCACCATCTCAGGAAAGAGCTTCATGAGCTTTGCGTCTTCGTAGCAGTGGACCTGTATTTTGTACATAAGCTCCATCTCCAGCTTTGCGGACGTGCAGACTTCGCCTAACAGCGAGCCCCATGTCTTCACCTGTGCATTAGAAATAAGAAGAGCGTTACTTCGCTTCTTACGACGTGAGAGAGCTTAAAAACTAACCTGTCGCAGAGCGAGATTGACATTCTGCTGTTGATTCTTGCCTGACCACTGTACAGCATCCATTAGAGCATCCCACACCGTCCGCACAACGTCCACGTCGGGGAGGAGGGATTCCTTTCGACGACTCTTCACAGTCTCGATCACTTCACCCATGTCCGCATTCGCACTAATCTGATCGGCCAGCGAGGTTCTCAGCTCTTTTAGCTTCACGTCGAAAACTTTCTTGTCATGGTACTCAACCAAAACACCCAGGCCTTCCTTCCTGCAATAAAGATAAACTTGAAGATGCACAAGAGATAAAAATCATGAAAAGCACCAACCTGAAGTGCTCGGCGAATGCTTCGGGGGTTCGCTTCTGCATTGGGAACAACTCCACGAGACGATCCTCCATTTTCGCACGCTTCAGGAGCGATATGAGATCGTCAAGACTGTTCTCCAGAAGATACTCTTTGAATGTCTCCGTACAAAACCCCAGTACAGTCCCCTTTGCCACGAGGCTGTCATTGAGAAGCGCCGCAAATACTGTTTCTGGTGGCAGGCCCGAGAGCTTCTGGGACAAAGCAAGGGTCGTGAAGATTGCCAGCTTCTTCCGGTCATCGGCATCAAAGAGTTCCTAACAAAAAGAAAAAAGAGTTAATACCGTCTCCCTGTAAACCAGAAAAACTAGCATACCAAAGATTGGAGCAGCCTGCGCATGACATTTTCGAGATTCTTGATCAGGAACGGACGTCGCCTTATAATCTTCTGAATGTACAGAACGTAAGGCAGTATGCTAGGTCGAGTAGCTTCACAATTTAAAACAGCATAAGGCTGCCTCTCTCCGTCCTCGGGCTTCGTCGTCCCTGGTTGATTACGGCCACCGGTGAACACAACCTGGCAAACGAAAGGAAAAACAAGTTTGAGACTCCTAAACTCCACCGAGAAACTGCGAAGTTCTTAAGCTTATCCATACCTCGAAGAAGGTGTCACCATAGCGTGAGAAATCAAGATCCGAGGCCTCGATACTCTTGGCAGTCAGCTCCTAGAAAAACCAGAGGAAAGAATAATTAAAAATCAAGATCACGTTCGCAAGGCATAATTCTCACCAGATCACCAGCATGATCCAAGTAGATCTGGACTATAGCATCCGCGAAAGAAGATGGGTCCAACGGAATTGCAATATTCCGTTTGCGGGTCTTAATCCGCGTGCCACTATACACGCCCAAATCATGAACAAACCAAACCAAACCAAAACCAATGCAAGAATCTCAAAGCCCTTACCCGAGAGTGGGTCTCTCCTTGGTGCTGCAAAAGCACACAACACGAATTAGAACCAGATTCTGAGACCTAGACACTGGATCCGACAAGCAATTTGGCCCATAGGGTCGCATCTCACCTCATAAAACGAGGAGCGCCGATCCGCAGCTACCTAGTGGCGCCGGTGCCGATCCCGCCAACGATTCGATGGATCGATCAAACCCCCGCGCGCTCTCGCCGGCCGCGCACAAACGAGACGAGGAGAGAAATGGGGGTTGAGAATGGGCAAAAAAAAAAAGAGATAGCGTGGGCTCGTTTGGAACAATTAACCGGAATAAAGTAAAGCGTTTGGATTCCGTCAATTTAATGAGTCGGATGGTTAGGGCATGACGTGTGCGTGGCTTGATCAAAATCGTACACGTGTCTTTTATATTTAACCGTAAGAAAATGCGACTCCAAGATACAATTTGTATCAGTTTGCCAATCATTAGGAAATAAACATTGGAAATAGTCAATTTCTTTGACTTCTGCTGACCAAGTCAAACTAGTTACTTGGCACTTAGGGTTTTTGCGTCGGCGAGCATGACATAGAGACCGGCATTGTTGCTGGATCGCCCGCCCAGCCTGTGAATCGCCCCAGCGGCCCTCTCTGCGCCATTCTTCTCGCCGTGATTCCGCGATGCTGCCAAGAGCGTCTGCCAGGCGATTGGATTTGGCACGAAGGGCATGAAACGGACGAGATCCTCGGCCCTCTCCAGCTGCCCCGCGCGCGCAAGCACGTCCACAAGGCAGCAGTAGTGGTCGTAGATCGGTTCCAGCGCATGATCGAAGGAAACGCTCCAAAATCTTCTGCGGCTCTCTTCGATCCGCCCCATTTTGCTGCAAGCCACGAGGATTCCGACGTAGGTGATGGCGCTGGCGAGGAATCCTTCACACTCCATGGCGGCGGCAAGCTCCAGCGCTGTGGCGGCGCCCACGGCGGCGGTGCACGCCACCACCATTGCATTCCAGGCCACGGCATCGCAAGAACTCATCTTCTGGAAGAGCTCCATCGCTCGATCCATCTGCCCGGTGCGAGCATAGGCATTGATGACGGCAGTGCGCGCTGCGAGGTCGCTGGATCGATTGGGCATCAGATCCAACATGCTACGAGCAGTGGCGATCTGGCCATTCTCGATCAGCGCCTGGATGATAGCGAGCCAGGCCACCTCGTCCGTTTCAGGGATCTGCAGGAAGAGCTCCAATGCCTGCTCGATATGCCCGGCGCGGCCATAGGCTGTGATGAGCGTGGTGATCGCCACCACATCGAGCTCTGGCATTCGATCAAACAGGCACTTAGCCTGCTCCAAGTTACCCCCTGCCGTGCTTGCGACAAGGATAGCGTTCCAGGAGATCCTGTTCCTCTCGGGCATCGAATCAAAAAGCCGCTGCGCTGTTTCTAGATCCCCAACACGGGCGTGACCGGAGATGATAGCAGTCCACGAGATCACATCCACAAATGGCATCGCAGAGATCACGCGATCTGCCTCAAGAACCTCCCCGGCATCGCAGAGCGCTGCCACAATCGCGTTGCACGATGCAACGTTTCTCTCAGGCATCGCACAGAAGATCTCTTTTGCGCGTTTTAGATGCCCGTTTCGGGCATATGTAGCAATGAGCGCGTTATAAGTCACGATGTTGTGTTCCGGCATTGCAAGAAAGATGGCGGCCGCGGAGGTCATCTCGCCACGATCACCGTATCCGGTCATAATCGCGGTCCAGGAATTTACGCTCTTGTGGGGCATTTGATCAAAGAGATTTCTTGCAATGGCCAGATGGCCGGACTGGAGATAGCTCTGGATCATGGTGCCCCAGGAGATTGTGTCGTGATCGCCCATGGCATCGAACACTTGCCGTGCCTCCTCTATCTGGCCGCGGCTTGCTAGCACACGAATCATTGCAGTGGAGGAGACGGGATTCCAAACGGGCATCCTATGGAAGAAAAGGTTGGCGGCGTTCTTGAGGTCGCCGTGGAGGGCGCAGCCAGAGAGGATGGCATTGAAGGAGACAATGCTGTGTTTGGGAGTGGAGTCAAAGATCTTCCAGGCAAGGTCCATTTGCCCGGCCTGGGCAAATGCGGTGATCACAGTGTTCCAGGTGACCACGTTTTTCTTGGAATCTGGGATTCGGTTGAACAGGTCTGTGGCTTGCTTGAGATTCCCATGTTTGAGATGAAAAGCTAGCTTTGTGTTCCAAGACAAGACTTCGTTGTGTAACCCACCCTCCATAGTTGAAAACACCACATTCTCATATTTTAGGTATATTGACTGGTTTAATACTATAAATGGATAAAGTCTTGAACATTATATTAACTATATTCTTGTATATAATAAAACATTCTGTTTATTTTATATTTTCAATAACAAAACTGATTTTTAAGATATTACTAAAGTAAATTACTCAAAATTACCTAAATTGTTTTAATATAAATAAATATATTAAAATGTTATATATAGATTATCAAATTGATTAAATACTTATAATATTCTAATTTTCTATATATAGTTCAATATCCTAAAAACTAAAACTCAATTTCTAATTGCTTAGGATATGAGAATAAAAGTATATATGAATTTGTGTTTAAACCCCGGCAAAGTTATGTATTTAAACACTTTACATGTTAAATAAATTAAACAAATAAAAGTAAAGATTATACCTAAATGCATTACATAGTTTTTTATTTTTTAAATTTTAAATTTTTATTAATTTATATTGATTTTATGAGGTACATCTATTGTCAAAATGAAGTTATAATCTTGAAACTTTGATTTTTACGAAAAAAAGTAATTTTCTTATGAATAAAATTTTAATTTTTTTTCATTTTACCCCCTTTTGTTAGCATGCTTTTTCCCTAATTTTAAAAAGAATTTTTTTTAAAAGAATGATTCATTCCTCTTTTTATTCATTTAAAATTCAAAATATCAACTACATTATTTCATTAATAATTAAAACTGCATGATCTAAATACAATGGTTTGAATTCAAATTTTACATTTCTATGTCTTTTGAAATTCTAATGTGTGCTTCTTTATGTATTCACTGAGGCTTGACATGAAATTGGAATGTAATTGATTTATATAGAAAGCAGACTTTAGTGTTATCACACCTGACAATTGGTAAAGAAGATATTAGAAAAGTTATTTCATAAACGTATCCAGAAACCTGTCACTCAAAACACCAACTTTACAATTCTTCTGTGATTGCAGCAAGAGCCCAGGGACAAACAGCCGAGAGCAAGAAACGTTTCTTTTTACTGACAAGAAGCGTTCTTTTTACGCACTAAAGGAAGTCTACAATTCAATCCTTCTTTCCGAAAAGTCCTCCCAAGAAGCCACCCTTGGAGGGCGCTGCTGCTGTCCCTGCTCCTTTCTTCTGCTTGCTCGATGGCACCGCTGACGACGCAGCTCCATTGGATCGATCATTTCCATCGCCCTGGTTCAAAACCGGATCCTTCTCCGAGAAAGTTTCCTTGTCCAATCCCTTGAGCAACCAGTCCAAGAACCCTCCACCATCCTGCTGCTGCTGCTTCTTCTCGGCGCTCAAGAAGAGTGGCCTTTGAGGGGCTTGCAACGCGATCCCTCCCACACCAAACTGGGCCATTTCTCCTTCCAAATCCTCCTCGAGAGCGATCAAAACCCTAGCTACGTATGCCAAGCTCCAGAGACGCTTGTGGAGTGCACACGCTCCCCCCGGATAAGAAACGAAAGAGCCTGCTACCGCCACGTGGTAGCTTATCCCAACCCACGTCATGGCCACGTTGGCTGCTGACGCGGCTGAATACAAGGTTCATATGTATTTTACAGATTTTACTGGGATGAAAACAAGCTTTTTAGATTTTCCTGCGAAGTAGTTTCTGAAAGTCTCAAAATCAAATCGATGGAAGCTCAAGCACTTACAAATAAGAAAAACATTAAAAAGTTAGCATGAAACTGAACGGGAAACTATAGAAGAGAAATCATACCTCCCATGCGCTGTGACTCTACCGCGAGCCCAATTTCTGTAAGATCAGTGCTAAAAACACCAGAAATCTGTCTAAGAGCCCTCGCGAATTTCATGGCCAAGCCGTCGCACTATCCTAACAACTGTAGCTACCGCTGCGAGTGCATATCCCTCCAAACCCAAGCGCTGGATTTAAAATCTGCTGATATTTGCACCCGCAAAACCTCATGAACAGTCCCTCGTTCCATCACCTTGAAGAGAAATCGCTGGCGAGGCTCAGTGAGCTCGTACAAGGACGCTATCTTCATGTGCATCTCGTCTCGCCGGCGGAAGCCATTGGACCAAACACCCATGCTCCACCACCGAAAGCATATGTGTCGATCGGAAATCTTCCTCCCAACGAGGGCGTCTCATCCTGGTGTCAAGGCAAAGATTTCTAAGAGGAAAACCAGAGGGAAAGCATTGAGTTACCTGGATCTTGAGATGGACGAGCGAGTAGTGCAAGCCGATTAGATTCACCAGGACGCTCAAAGTTGGCGAGAACAGATTGATGAGAACGTCCTGGAAGCCAATGTCTCGCACGCACAGGAGGTCGAGAGCGTTGAGATAGTTAGCGACTTCCAGCGATTCTTCGCAGGCGTACATTCTCACAAACTCGATCACGGCTCTGGCCAAGCTTGCCATCTCAAGGTGGCGATGAGCGTACGATGTTCTCCAGTCCTTGAAGAAGCTTAAACGAAATCTATCACAAGAAAGAAAATTAGCTACCTCGTGAGGCTGCTTGTGAGGGGTGGCCGCGGGCCAGCGTCTCTTGAAAACGCTGGCCCAGATTCCATCGCGACAACCGATTTTCCAGAGAGATTTTGAGCAGCTTGCCAGTGCACAAAGATCTCGCGACTGTGTCAAAATCTCCCACGAACTTTAGGAAATCTCTGCAACATTCCCTATCACCATCATACCTCGAGCAAGATCAGGATGCGCTCCAATAGATCGTCTTCCAGATCCTCAAGCCTTCCTGGCTGTGAATCCATGGTACCGTGCTGCACAGTCTCGCGAGATCAAACACCGGCGCGTTGAGATCGGCGCCTTGGAGAAGCCATTGCTGGAAGAAACTCTCCAAATTTCTTCCTGGAGGAAGAATTTCTCTCCTTCCAGGTGGCAGTACAAGGAATATACGAGCCCTGCTTTCTAGGGTTCTTGAGTGAAGAGGACAAATGCGCTGGCGCGGAATCGCTGTTCTAGTCGTGGCTTGCGTCGGTGAGTAATTCTTGTCTCCAGAATCTTTACCGAGCACTGGATCTCTCAGTATCTCAGTGCGGCGGGGATGTGGAATCGACGCTCGCGATGGTGAAGCCCGACTGCGTCGAGACGAATCAGGTGGAATCCATCAAGGCCCTTGTCAATGCGTCGGGTTTTCTGATCATCACCGAGAGAATGCTACGTCTGGAAGAATCGCTGGCCAGGAACTTTTATGCCGAGCATTCCAAGCGCGAGTTTTTTGACGATCTCGTCGATTTCATGACAAGGTTTGATGGATTATTTGCTTGTTTTTGCCGCGTTCTTTACAGCCATTCCCTCGTTCTTCGCAGTGGTTCTGTCGCTGCCATGGTGCTCCAGAAACACAACGCCATTGCTGAGTGGCGTGAGTTGATCGGTCCGACTGATCCATCCAAGGCGAGAGTTTCTCATCCACAAACGTAAGAACAAGTTTGTTTGCAAGCTTTCACTTTTCTCTGTGATCGGGATGGTGTAGCCTTCGAGCCAAATGGGGTATCGATACGCAAAGGAACTGCGTTCACGGATCAGATTCCTCACTATCTGCTGGAAGAGAAATTTCTCTCTTGTTTGGTGGTTCACGCTCCACAGGCAAGCGTTTCATGCGCGGTGTATCTCATGCTTATATGTGGTGTACTTTGATCTTGGCAGGAGCCGGTAGAATCTCTCACGAAGAACTATGAGCTGCGTCTCAAGGATCGTGGCTTTCGGCTCGTACTGTCAGTCACATACTCCACATTGGCCGGCAGGGTACTAAGTATAATTCGCGCTTGGGAAAGGTTTCGGAACATGCGGTGGAGCCATAGATAGCATCCAACACAATCTCAGGCTGATCTCTATGTTGGCCCCTCGCAATCAGGGTTGCAGCTTGGGTACATCCAGCAAGGAGCACAGCTACAGGCAGGTCCAGTTCAACAATGGATGCCGCGGCTCTAGAGCCAAGCCCATGGATGCAAACTGTTGAGTGGCCCTGTGTCACGTGGCTACTTTCCAGTGGTTTGCCACGAAGCTTCTGGTTTCCGGCTGTCTTGACGGCAAACTATCTCCAGAACCGGCTCCCCACCTCTGCTGGCATCGCTCCTGAAGAAGCATGGAGTAGCAAGAAACCTACAGTTACGCATCTGAGAATATTCAGGTGTGAAGCGTGGGCACACATCCCTGACGGAATGCACAAGAAATTGGAGCAGGCTGTGTTTGTCGATCACAAAGCCTATCGTCTCTGAAATCCAATCACGAAGCAGGAGATCCTGAGCAGAGATGTGGTTTTCAACGTCCAGTCAAGGTTCTACATCCAAGCCTACCTTGACCGAAGAAAATGACGTTGAAGCGGAACAAGACCAGTTGACTGTCAGCATGATCACTGTGCCGCTTCAAACAGTCCCTACGCATCAACCCATGCCCGCTTCTACTCCAACACCACCAATGCCGCCGCCTCCTTCAGATCCTCCACGCAGATCGATCCGCACAAGGCGGCCTACTGAGCGTCTCATCGAGACAATGGTCTCATCTCGTGCAGCTGGGACTCCTACTGTTCCGAGGACCCATGAAGCCATGGCCTCACAGGAAGCGTCTTACTGGCGTGTAGCAATGTGAATCATGCTTAGCTAGTCTGAGATGATGAGCATGAAGAGCTGATGAGAAAGGCATATGAAAAACTCATCAATCAACTACCCAAAACTTAGTTTTTGGTCATGGACTTACTTGCACACTCTTTGCTCCTTGTTATGGCTTCAATCTTGCCACTAGCATGTGATCTTGGCTGTGAACTGCAAGGTTCTCATTTCTACTACTACTAAGCACTTAAACCTCCAAAAGTATCCTTCCCAATTGCTGGAAGTTCCTACAAAGAATTGTTATCCTATGTTCTTGAATCTTGCTTGATCTAATTTTTTATATAGGTTGCTGAAATCTCTCAATCTCCCACTGGCTTTATACTCTACTTGTTGCTCAGCACCTCTGCACAGCCTAGTGCCTTTAAGCATCTAGCACATCTACCAAAAGCTTCAAGCAGTGCAAAAAGGGATTGCAATCAAGAGGCTCATCCTCCTCCTTGTCACTAGCCTCTTGGCTAGCAAGTTCCATGCCCAAGATCAAGGAGCCAATTGCTTCAATACCATATTAGTAGTGGAGAGAGGAAGAACTTTTTGTGTATGCAACTGTATATGGATGGTACATATATATGAAACTACTACCACATAGGCATAACTACATGCCACATCATCTCTACCACTCATGATCGATCCAAGCCTAAATCTAAGCCTGAATCATGCTTAGCTAGTATGAGATGATAAGCATGGAGAGCTGATAAGAAAGGCATATAAAAAACTCATCAATCAACTACTTAAAACTTGGTTCTTGGTCTTGGACTTGCTTGCACACTCTTTGCTTTTTGCTATGGCTTCAATCTTGCCATTAGTATGTGGTCTTGGCTGTGAACTGCCAGGCTCCCACTTCTATAGCTACAAGCACTTAAATCTCCATAAGCATCCTTCCTAATTGCTGGAAGTTCCTGCAAAGAATTATTATGCTACGTTTTTGAATCTTCTTTGATCCAATTTTTGATATGGGTTGCTAAAATCTCTCAATCTCCCACTAGCTTTATGCTCTGCTTGCTACTACTTGCTGCTCAGCACTTCTACATGGCCTGGTGCCTTCAAGCATCTAGCAGATCTACCAAAAGCTTCAAGCATTGCAAAAAGGGATTGCAATCAGAAGGCTCATCCTCCTCCTCGTCATTGGCCTCCTAACTAGCAAGCACCATGCCCAGGATCAAGGAGCCAATTGCTCTAATACCATGTTAGTAGTAGAGAGATTTGCACAAGGAGGAAGAACTTCCTATATATTCAACTGTATATGGATGGTATATATGTATGAAACTACTACCATGTAGGCATAACTACATGCCACATCATCTCTACCTCTAACAATCGCAAAGGGCTGGGACTTTCTCCACTGATGAGCATCACTTGTGATGGCCACAGTGCCAATGGGAGTGTTGAGAGCAGCCCTATGCCATGTGACTAGTCCACGTGGAGAGACACAAGTCTTCACTAGTTCACTGTGTATGAGTCCTCACCAGTTCATCGTGTCATACATATGTACATTTCCATTCCATATATGCTATGATAGATCTTGAGCACCATCACATGGTTTCACCTTTCATTAGAGCACTATCCTTTGGAGCAGTGGTATAGTTTTGTCATGCCTCACTAGCAGAATACCCATGCCCCAAGCCCCAGCAGCTCAATGGTTTCCAACCTTTCATGCTAGAATGCTTATCAAAATCTGATTGTGCCTTAGCAGCACACAATTTACATTTCACAACCTATGAGCTGGAAATCCATCTTGACAAGGGACCTCTGCCAAGATCCAGAGATAGACAAGGTTGCATAATTGGTCCAGCTCATCAAATGGGCCATTTTGTTTTCATTCACCCGCAACAATTTTACATAACACATCTAGATAATAAGTTGGCTGAAGAGCATCCTCTAGATGAATGGCTTCCAAATTTGAATAAGGAGGTGTTGGTATTGTTTTTATTGATGATGCTATGAGAGGTTTTTAAGAGTGCAAAACACAAATTGTCAATCATTAATAATCTCTTGTATCCATCGTGGGACTGCGGTACAGGTGGATGACTAGTTGCCTCACATAAAATAGCTGGTCTACACAATAGAATAATTGGTAGATTCAGTGTGGAAATGAAAGTGTTGGTTCCCCTTGGCTCAATAGGGGTTGTTAAACAATAGTCAATGAACAGTTGTTGTAACTACCTTCATTTCTGGTTTTTTGAAGCTTGAGGGCAAGGAAAGAAAGGTAGTAGAAAGAAGGGTTGGACTTTCTATTTTTCAGTTTCTTATGAAGGTAAGGTAATGAAGCTATATAGTGATCAATCTATATAAATCTATGGAGGAACTAGAACTTACTAAACTATCCACTGAGAACCAATCTAATGAGCTAATGAATGGCTGAATTTGAGAACTACAGATCCATTTTATAGACCTGGCAAAGGGAACATACCTCAGTTTCGGTTTGTGCCAATGCCCCAAGGTGCCAAAGCTCTCAATATTAGACACAAGATGGGCCTTATCAAGAATTGACTATGGCAGCATGCACAACTAACATTCCCTCCATTGAGTTTGGATTTTATGCTTTCTAAAACAAGTAATATATGGTTGAGTAATTCTTGTAGCTTGCATACTAAGAGCAAATCCTTTATAGACTTTAATTAAAGAGACAAACTTCTGAATTGATTGGAATTACAAACAAGTGATCACCCTTTTAATCAGTTAACTTAAGGTGTAAGGGATAGGATCTTAATAGATTCCATTCCCTACATCTTGACCAAAAAATCTGTCAGCACTCTCCTACTCCACCTCATGAAGTAGTGGTAGTCAAGAAAAAGTTCCATTAGCTAACATGTAGAGCTCTTTACATTTCATCAAGTTCAGCTTCTACACATGAAACTATAGACTCAATTGGCTATATAACCATAGCAATAACAACATAAGGAAATAAGATATATACCACCAACTTATGGAGGAGATTACTCCATTGACAATCTCTAAACACTTGGCATGCAAAAGGTGCTATTATTGTTGTCATGATTATTGCAAAGAATTAATGACTGATTAATGCAATTGGTAATAGGTGTACTTTTACATCCTTTACCAATTGAAAATGTTACCTTCACTTGTTTATTCTGATCTTCATAAAACTTACTAGTATCAACAACTATTACACACCATTTTATAGTGCTCCTCTATAAGGTGAATGTCTTGAATGAAATAATGGATAGAGAGGTCATAAAGGTCATCAACTAGATTCTAGGCTACCAGATTCAAGTCAATAACAACATCCACTGAATGGAGCAATTCTAGCTAAGTTAGAGCCAAGTTAATGTTGTAGGACATCCTTCTATAGCAAAACTTCTCTCCTAGCCTTTTGTTTGTCATCATCTCTCTCTCTGCTCCACAATAGCATGAACTATCTCAAGTAAAATTACCTTATTACAACTTTATGACTACATAACAAAGCATAAGCTAAAGACTTCATATACCTAGCATCAACAGAAAATGCATCCACAACTTGAGAGGATTTGGTCCAACACCCACGATGACAAAATAATAGGCAGAGGTCACCATCTCTCTCTTCCACATGATTTAAAAGTATCGATTCGGGAGTATAGTGCAAATGAACATTACTCAATAGCTATCCTAGGACCACCAAGTTTTCATTTGCTTTAGTTTAATAAACTTGGTTTTTCACAGAGGACAATAGCACTAAAACTAAGGTACATTTTAAAATTCTACATTAGAAGGCTGAGAATGGACTTTATACCCACTCCTCAAGAACCTGGTACTTTAGCATTTGCTATAGTTATTTACACCATAGAAAACAGTGACAAAAAGTCACCATCTTCACCACTCATTCCACACCAATGTAAATAAATGGCTTGCAATCACCATATAGTATTAGAATGCTAACAGTATAGACTCCACCAAGTAAGTTCTCGCCCATAGAATCCCAACCAATTCACATCACAAAAGACAATGAATAGAATTTTATATGAGGGAATTAAAAGACATGAGCTCACATTTTAGAATTTGGTAATTTAAAAAATTAGCCTAAATATGTTAAACTCCTTTTAATAGTAGCACCTTCACATAAATGAATAAGCAAAGGGATGGAGAAATCAAAGTGCCTACATCCCCCCACTTCCTTAATTATTTGTCCACAGACACCATCCACCACTAGGGATCTAACATTGACAAACACATAGCTTGGGATGGGATTTTAACTCTTTCAATACTCTTTGATCATCATCTACAACTAGCTGGTATCACACACCCTACACTTAAATAATTATTCACCATATTTTCCTTGCTATTTCCAATCACTCACTACTTTACTCTCCACCCATGCTACCATCACCTACTCTAATAAAAATAGTTAGCACACCCAAAACTCAAGTCTTCCAATTGCAAGACTTGGCCCTCCTTTAGGTGGTAATGATTGTTGTCATAGTTGAATAAGCTAAACACCAGCATTCAAAGAGATCACCCACTAAGATCCCTAACATGACACCCACCACCATCGTAATGAACACTACCTAGGTGGAAGCAACTCCAAGACTTGGTTAATAAACACTTCACTACTATACTAGTGTTGGTGATTGAGGACACCACTAATTCATGTTAGCATTACCTCCTTCTATCATCAGAACCACTTGGATCATCATCCCAAGGCATGAACTAATCTTCACTCATCATG